AAAACTTCATTATACGGAACGAATTGATTATTCTCGATATGGATCTGGGAACAAAATAATGTAATAGGATAAACGATATTGTGCGCGTTATCGTTGAATCAAAATGATCGCCAAACGTGACTCCTGCTGTGTGGATTCTTCCCATAATAAGCGAAGTAGAATATTTACGAAGATGGCTTTCTTCTGGGTTGGAGCGCCGTGTAGCCATTCATCGCCCTGATGATAGAGGCAGCAGTGACTTTTGAAACGTTGGTAAGCTTCTACCAGACTACACGGCGATACAACTCAGAAAACAGCCATCTTAGTACTCACGGCCGTGAGAATATCAAATTCTAGTAGAATATTTTTACATTTACTTTCATAAAATCGACAGTCCTTAATTAAATAAAATTATTAGAGAATTACTATAGACTTGTTTGATGGAAGTTGCCGTGTAACTCAACTGCCATTTCTCACTCGCAAGCTCATTAAACCCATATTTCCTGTATTCTGTATCCTGTTACAGGTTTCATTTGATGTTATATGTTTTTAATTATTTCAATTTGCCACTTCTTTGATAATTATAGAGGCAGTGTCTTTTCAGGAGTATTTCCGAACATAGTTCTACAGAAATATGCGTAAATATTTTTCGGAAATAAAACTAATATTTCTTATCTTTGGGACTTATGAAGCGAAAAGGATTTAGGTCCCAATGTGCAGTATGCTGCATTATTATTGGCATCGAAATTTAAAAGTAATAGCTTTTTCCGTCTCCCATCAAAACTACCAATTTACTGCTGTAATAACACACTGATTATAGGAAAGGTTGCCAAAAAATATTGTCATTTTAGCAAGTGCATATCGATTCCCTTCATAAGACTTTTCGATTCCATTTGCACATTTAGAGTGGAACCCCTTCAGAAATTGTCATGTAGTTCTGTTTTCGACCATTATACATAGACTATATTTAGGAACGAGTCCTTATTTATTAATGTAAGCTATTGTGTAATCTTCCAGAATTATTTTTGCTCGTCTTGACACTGATTTTACGCGTAAATGTGAAGTGTCTCCTGACCTCCTTTCTAATAAGTTTTTAACGTGTGTGGGGATGAACGACCGCTGACGTCATCTTGCAACCCCTGGATTGTATGAGTAAATGCACTCCCACTTGCTCTCATCCTGTTTAGAGTAAGGACTGGAGACGTTCCGTTTTTTCTTATGGAAAATTTAACTACAAATACTGAAGTGTATTAACACCTAAAGGCGTACTAATTAAGATGTCCTTTAACATTGTATATTCTGTTACAAATTTGTTAGTGGTGGACTGATAAACAACACTGAAACCACATACGTGATGTTAGAATACCATCTGTCCAACTTCCTTACAAATTAAAGTAGAAGACGTTTCCATAGCGTGATTTGTTATTTTGATTTTGTTTCGTTGGTCGTATTATTTATTACAACATAACTATTTCACATGCATCATTCCAGTTCCGAGAATGGTGATAATCTTCGTGTATATTCACAGTTGCAAGGGCAGTAAGAGGTTACACTGTGTCTTCGTTCTTGCGGTCAGGTGACGTGTCATTTACACTTTAAGTAAGAAGACTCCAAAGTTGATTACTCATACCGTGGAAATCGATTTTTGACGTGAAAAATCTGTCTTCTTTATTTAAATCAGATTATGCTTTAGTAGGTGCCCGGATTTATATCTTGTGTTGGGCAAGGCATCACGGAGTTTTCCTCCGGGGCATCCCCGATTTTTCCGTGGCATCCCAACAATTACTCCATTTTCATCATTATTAGATACTAAGCACACAGAAGAAGGCAAAGGCAAACCACTTCTGGATCACTTGCCTAGGAAACATATGAACAGGTCCTTATCAGAGGGATCTTGTTCATAATGTCACCAGGGGTCGGCTCCAACCCGATGGTACAAAGAAAAATCTTTAGTAGGCGTTCTTAACAGAAAATATGATATTTCTACGAAATCTGACAATTAAATTTATGACAGTTACTGTCTCCGTATAGGTTGTAGAAAATGTATTATCCTTAAATCCACTATATATTCTGAATATGCTGTGCCCTAAATTCAACTTGAAGTTTTAGGTGCGACTAAATCGAAAACATATATCACGACATTTCTGTACCTAACAGCTTGATAGAACCCGGTGTGATGTACACCCCTGCAATAAAACTTGTCTTATAACCCATTCCGTTGTGCAGAAGCGGCACAACGCTACGTAGTCCTTAAAACAAATTTCTGCTTCGCTAATACCCTTACTTCTTTGAAGTCAAAAAACTGAATTTTATGATACGAGTTATGATCTTCTTATGCAGTCTGCGTTAAAGCTGAATTGCTTGCAAGAATTCGATATAATACAGACAAAAAAATACAGAAAAGGAAAAATAAATATAAAAATACCGGACTTTAATATGCAAAAACCCATTAAAACAATAAATACAGATCATCCAGTGTTTTATGTTCCTGTCAGTAAGTGTGGAACAATTCTATATAATATTTTAGTAACAGTATAAATAATGTAAAATCGTAGACCAATTTACATCTTCGTTTTTACATCTGTAGGTCTTTCTTTTATTCAGCAAGTTCGCTGTGTTAGTGACTGCGTCACCTCCGTCTGTTCGTGCACATAATAACTGCAGCAAAGTTTCTTCAGCGGGAAAAATATGCGTACATGTGCTTAAGAATGATTTAATTAATTTTCGTTTTGTTAAGTACAGATTATTTTCCTTTGTGCTGGTAGTAGGGGACTAATGTCACTTTTACCTCCGAGTCACACTTAACAGCTTCTTACCGTGGCTGTAGAAGCGATGAACTATTTCATCTCCCAGTTCAAGGCTGGATGTTGACTACACACAACCTGTTGAAGTTTTTTATTATTATTTTTTTAAATTCTCCAGACAAGTAGTTTTAAGGGGGTATAAGAACGAAAGGGAAAGGTTGAGAGGAAGGGTTGAGTGGATAAAGACGATGAAAACGGAAGGGGAGGCGAGACGAGACGTGAGGTGAAAGAGTCTTGACGAGCTATGGTATTTTCCTGCCTATCCTTTTATCACCCATCCACTTCATCCGCTCTTCTTCAACCTCTACTGCATTTCGAGTATTTTTACTCGTAACGAAAGCCAGAGTGAGTGGGTTGGAAGGAGGAGGAGGTGAACCAAATGCACCAATCGTTTCCAAGGCAATGGCAGCGATGACCGATGTGAATTCCCAGGGACAATAAACGACGAAGTCGATGGTATGCGGCTGCAGCCCTTTTTCTATATAAAACGACGAAATTTTGGGATAGAAGCAAAGAAGCTGTTGGCAGAAGCAGTGGATTAAGAGCTGCTGGCTCCATTCGTGTTGTGATTGATACAGCAGCCTACCTTCTTGTCAGGATGAACCACTTTATGGTAAGTTCGGTTCATTTACCTTAATTATGTGCAGTAATTACACATTTGAATGGGCTTACATTGTATTGGCATTGTCGCGTAGACATTTTAATTACCACACTTTGTGTTCTTCGCGAAGAGTGCATACAAGTGGCACATTATGGGGTCTGCCCGTCTTCAGTGTTTTGTTTACGTCTCAGTTCAACTGATTTCAATCATATTTAAAATAGGGGTCTATACTAAATTTGCCGTACGAATTTAATTTCAATCAGTTTTGGTCCAGTACAACCCCTACTTTCCATTCGAATTCGAAAAGTCTAAATAAATTCTACAATAATTCTATAGTGTGACATGTGCTAGGTATATGCTGCATGCAAGAAGTAGTGCTATCCGCTACAGCGATTAAAAACGATGTCTCATGGTGGAGATGGGAATTATTTTTAAAATGGGAAGATTTTCGATTCATCTGTAGATGGTACTTTTCTCGCAAATCTCGGTGGGATTTGAGATTTTCACAGCGGTGAGTCTGAAGATTGCTGTCTTCTCGGATGTCGCGCCGTCTAGTCTGGTAGATTTCCTCCAACGTTTCAGAGGTCAAACTGCCTCCGTCAACGTCCTGTTGATGGAGGTAGCATGACCTCTGAACCGTTGGTGGACATCTACCAGACGACATGGAGCAACAACCCAGAAGACAGCAATCTTCAGTGCTTTATAAATTAAACAGGATCACCATAGTAAACACGTAGGAGTCAGCAAATTTATAAATGTAATTGCTCATGGAATAGTGAAGTGTGAATATTACAGATTTTATAAATTAAATAATTACATTTAAGTATGCATTCACCCGTTTCAAATTTCTTTCTTCTCTTCGTATATTTTCTGTTGCTTTGCTGAAGGCAAAGAGATTCATTGTTCATTTTGTTGCATATACTTCTCACAAAATCATAACAATACAAGCATTTCAATTTTTAATATGATTTCTAATTACTATTCTCCTTAAATATTTATCTTGTCTTTATAACTTAACACTTTATTCTAATTATTTTAATCTGTGTAATTTCTGTTATTTCCGAATAGTTATTACAAAGATTCTATTCTAATATCGTTGTATTTTAGTAAAAAATAGGCTTCGGTCGTCTCCTTTTATGTACTTCCCATTTAATTATCCACAGAGATTATGCCTTTTGATGCTAAAATATACACTTGACGAAACGATGTTAAATAAACGGACTCAGTTGTATCCCTAGTTAGTGATCATTCAATTTAATAGTTAAAATCCCAAAGCCAGGCGTCTCACTTAGATAAGACATATTTCAGAATTTCATATTGATTGTTTGTGACGTGTCAAAAAATAAAAATTATATTACAATGGAAATATAAAAATAAAACAATAATTTACTATTCGTTGTTTGCGAGATTCAACATTTTATTTGCCCTCAATGTTTTCTAAGTTTCTGTCGAAAATCAAGCTACGAATTTTGAAGTATTTTGAAAAGTACATTTCCTGTCAATATGGCGCTCTTAGTAAGATGAAAGATGATAAAAATGTAAATATCGCAACGGACAAAAAAAAATTGCTGCAGGCATATTTGTAAGAAGCATTCTGGCACGGTAACAGTTCATGCTGTCACTCTGTACTTTGTAACACGTGCCTCTTGTTTGTAGTTGGACGTTTAGATACTGTGTGATAATTTCTGAAGCATTAACTACCTTCCGAAATGTTGTACTTTTAAACCAATTTACGAAGGAAAATGTCTAAAAAAATTTGTACCATCTCAACGACACGGCTTCGTCAAAGAAGCTAGACTAATATTATATAATCTAATTTAATTGATCGCCTCGCCGCATACTGCATTGAAGCCTTACAAGGATAGTCGTCAACACAAATAGATAATCTGTCAAACGAAAGTGATTTTCAGAGTACTAATTTGCACTCTGTACAATACACATGTGATTGGTTTTGCCTGCAGGGAGTGTTTCTGCTGGGCGTGGTGGCCATGATCACCCTCGTACACGCCCTTCCGACGGGCGAAGAAGTTGCCCCAGCTGAAGCGGTCGACGTTCCCCAAGACGAGACCCTGGGGACAGCAGAGTCGGCGTGGGGATGGGGTGGCTACGGAGGTTACGGAAGGGGATTTGGCGGTTACGGGGGTTATGGAAGGGGATGGGGTGGCTACGGAGGTTACGGAAGGGGATTTGGTGGTTACGGAGGTTATGGAAGGGGATGGGGTGGTTATGGTGGTTACGGAAGGGGATGGGGTGGTTACGGAAGGGGATGGGGGTACTATGGTTAAGTGCGACATTATTTGCAGAAGATAAACGGACTGATTGATGGTTCTCGCAACTATTTGTTCACCTTGCGATGAAAAATACAGACTTTCTTGCCGCAATGTGTTTGACTATTGCCAGTGGTTACTGTAATCTGAACAAGATTATTCGAAACAGGGAAACCACCTTAAAAGGCTGTTAACAGTGTTCATCTCATTGTGTGTATATCTCTTTTTTTATAAGAAGTAAATATGTCAACAGATACGTGTGAAATAATAAAGTATAAAAATCATTAACATTTTTAATATAATGATCCTTTACAAACCAAACCACAAAACCATCTTCATATCAATCAATTTGCATTTATTCCCTGTTGTATGCAGATACAACAATTTGTACTGAATATGTAATTAATTGTCTGGTAGTAGAACTCGAAGTTGTGATACAGGTCTGCCTACTTCTCATCATTACACATATTTTCCTTATATCCATCTTTATATTATCTTCACACTTTTATCGTTGTATTTCAAATGGCCAATTTCAAAGACATTTATCCTACCTCAATTATTCGTGCTACAGGCTAATTATATCCTAACCTCATTGACTTCATTAGTCTTCTTATCCCTGAGATTTGCATTCATGGGTTCTTTTGTGCGAATTTCTCCATAAATCTCTAACTAAAATGTAGCCTATTTCCAGATATTCCCTCGTCTTTCCCTCACTACCGACATCGTCTTTTTTATTATCAGGGGTTCATATGCCGTTATCACACAACATAAGACACAAAAAAGTAATCTTGCACGTGTTGCTCAAGAGATTCTTTAAGTAAGACGCTGGTTGTAAGGTAGGATTATTTATCTCCAGGAATTTGCCGAATTATTTGTGCCAACAAAACAGAAATTCTGCACGCCTGACAAAATGTAGATAACAGAAAATCTGAACATGGAGCATGTAGTAACAGGCACTTCAGTTTAATCATACGTAGTTCGTAATGATAGAAAGTAGTGACAAAATGAAAACAGCATCAAGTTCTTCTGTTTCCCTTCCCTGTCCGCTGTTACTCGTATATCGTCTGGGGATTGAAAATGGGCCCATTAGAGGCTGCAATCCCACTGAGACATGGCTCCACCCCACTGCAAGTCAGCAAAAAGAAAAAAAAAACTGGTTTTGAAATCACTAGAATAAGACATTTATAAGAAATTGCAGTTGTGTATTTGAAGCAGATGGCATTTACAACTTAGATAAAAAATTATAAGAAGGGAAATATGAGAATGTTTTCCGTGAATCAAGGGGCCAATTTTTCATTTTCGTTCATTTTTAGTAAATCTTTGGGTCATTTTGAACTCCGCCTTTGGCAGTTTTGCGATGACTGCTGACGTCAAGGAAGGTAGAACTTAACAAAGTCAGTTGCCAGTTCGGACAAATCCTCAGTGCCTCATTATTGTCTCATCCACTTCTCTTGCTGTTTTCGAATACGTCACATTTTACGTCAACCACCTGAAGACCCAACTTTGTTTATGGACGTGGTTTACAAGTACCGGCGGGGGGAGTATAGAAGTGCGCAAAACAGACTGTAAATACATGAATTCCCAACATGCGTAATCTCTGCATTTAATGCCCTTCGTTTGGGTCGCTAATTGAAGTACAATCCCTGCCACAAATCCTGTGTTGTATCTGGGCGAAGATAGAAATTCTTTGTAAGAAGATGACTGTTTTCTGGAATGTTGAGCAATGTAGTCTGATAGAAAGTGACCGACGTTTTAGAGGTGCTTATAACCTCCATCGTTATCGTGCTGATGAAGGGAGGAGCAGACTCCTCTGATATGTCGGTCGGTTTCTACCAGATCGCACGACGTAACATTGCAAGGGACAATAATCTTCTTCCTCGCCGCAGTAAGAACCTGAAATTTTCTCTTAACCTTGCTTTAATACGTGTTTGCGTTGACGCAATTGGTTTCAGGATTTGTTTACTACGTTTTTACAAACGTTTCGGTAGTTGTGAGAAGCTATTTTCTCTTTTATTTGAATATTCGGAAGTTTTTCAAATTTGAATTTTAAATTGCAAAATATTTATGAGAAAAACTAGACCAATGTGGAAGTATGATCAACTTCCAGACCTCTGACTATGAGCTTGTGACCGCAGATGTTATATCGGATTGTCCATTGCGAAGGGGATTAGGGCTAATCCACTCTTTAATTCACACTGGCACATGGGACGATTTAAAAAGTCGCCTGCCAAGTTCATTAAGTATACGAGGTATTCATAATTTTCGTCACAGGTTAATGCAGAATCACATAAATCATCTTGCTAAGGTTTAGTGGCATAGCTGCCAGTGTTAATAGGGTCTGGTAGTACATTGAAAATATCTATCCAGAATTTGGTGAAGGCACTTCTTCCACGCTACAATAACCAGGAGTCTTTTTTCTTTCCTTTTGGATTTAGGCAGTAACTTTTCCTACTCCTTGGAGGTTATGTCAGTACTCCTCAGTGTTATTTACCAACTGCAACTCGTCTGATATTCTTAGATGAATCAACTATAAAGCAGCTGCATAATTTGAGAACACAGAAGTCGCTATTGGATCCTATCCTGAGTCACATGAATCCAATCCACGCACCAACATCCTCTTCCTCTGAGATCCATGTTAATATTTGTCTACCATTTATTCATAGGTCTCCCAAATGGTTTATTCCATTGGGATTTTACGACTAAAGTATTGCGTGCATTTCTTATCTTCCACACCCAACTGCATGTCCTGCCCATCTCATATCCCTTATTTGATTATATAATAATATTAGACGAAAAGTTAATGAAGTAATATCTTTATCGTGTAATTTTCTCGGCTCCCATTTTAATTCACGTTTTTAAGGTCCTGACGGCAGTACTCCTATTCTCGGTTTATCATCACACACATGCAAACACTAAAATCACTAAGTATGGAGCTGTGCCGTGTTTTTCCTGACTGGAAACTGTGCTTTCTTTTCTAAGGCCGTAACTCAGAAATAATTTTATGAATGGGATGATCAGCCATGTTTGTCACACACTGTGTACTGTACGCCAGCGCACGTGACTGGATTGCTGTGATATTTTGACAGCAGGCAGAAATAAAAGGAATAATGGTATAGTCACGCGGAGGAATTCTAGGAATGCTAGTAGGACTTTCCAAAAGGATTTGAATAATTTTCTACACCTTGATCCAAATTGTTTGTTTGAGAACTTGGGGGAAATAATCTTGAATATTTTAAAGATAACAGCCTTCTTGGATATTGCACCGTGTATCCGACGTTTCGGAGGTGGTGACTGTCCCCATCACCAACTCTATAACGTCGTAATATCCCAGAAGGCTGTCATCTTCTTGCTCGTCGCCGTGAGAACTTGAAATATTACCTTTTAGAAAGTAATTCGTTCTTCATTTATTTGTATAAAAATGTGTAATGTATTGAATAATAATATGCTCATTTATAACCATCAGAACACTTCACTAGTAATGATTGTTTCTTGTCTTGCCACATTACAGTTTGCTTCAGAATATTGTAAACAGTGTTAATTTCTCTGTGCTGTCGATTTGAAGCCAAGTGTGTTGGTGGATTGTGTAACGTCGCTTGTGTAAACGTTCAGTCGGACACGTGCTTACGATCCAGAGTTCGACTGCATTTCAGTGCTGTTCGTTCAGAATAAGTCTACTGTCTTAATGTCGGATGCGCAATAGAAGCGATAAAGAATTGCTTACTTACATTAAATTAATATACCAGTAGAAATTCTCGAAGTCAGAATTCAGCAGAACTGTTCGTGTTGAGACCATGTTTCATACACGTGTTGTACTTAAAAACATGTTAAGGTTTCATCATGGGCTTTCTCTGTATTTCCAAATGTATTATGGATAACAGTTACCAAAATTGTCGCTCCAAACTATGTTTGCCTAAGGTACTTTTTTTTACCGACCTTGCTTGTAGGAGGGTAAAACAATTTATGGATAAATTATGTAATTATTTGAAGGTCTTATTTCTTTCGATCAGTCCCTGTTATAAAGCAGACGTGACTCTGAGTAAGCGATTTGTAAGTTACCAACGTCGAATGAGACTAAGAGCCCTGAAAAGACCTTCTCGTTACGTTTTCAATGTTCATGCTCAATCAGCTGTCGTCTGTTACACGTCATCCTCGGCCTTGTCGCAGCATTGATCTTGCAAATGAAACAGCTTTAGTCATTTACACTTCCTGGCCATTCAGGATACTGAAACAGAAGAAAGGCTTCGATTCATGTTGAGTCATTTCTTGAAGGCTTGGTGGTGCAAGTAGCGATGTTTAGCGACTCGAAACGGGCGAGTAGCCGATGATGCGTGAAGAGAAAAGTGCCGTCGATGTGGTCACAGGAACGCAGCATCTCTATGCCAGGGCAGTCAGTATCTGGGGCAGACCGAGTAAAGTTGTTATCTCACCCTCAGTCTATATGCGTTCTCTTAATACAAGAGACCAAGTTTTGCACCCAAATAAAACAGTTACATCTATATTAATTGTATTTTAATCAATAGGTTTTTGATGAAAAACAGGAAGATAACAGGTTTTTAAAATTTTTGAGTTTTGCGGCGATGTGAATATCGATGATCTTTTGGTCTGTTGCGCCATGTAGTAACTTGGCTGTGGCCCAATATTTCCGAGGAACATACTGCCTCCATAAACAGGGCTGAACATGTAGGCAGTACGTTTATCTTTAAACGTTAGCACACGGCCATAATACAACACTACGTAACAGCTCAGAATGTCATAAATCCCGTATTTCGCAAATTTAGTCTGCTCTTACCATTATCTGCGTTAAATGCGTATAACGATACGACACGCGCAGAATAACGAAGATGCGTATGTAGTGCGTGTTGAGCACGCTGGAGTAGACGTGCGCGTTTACACTGCTCTCTGAGCATACGTACAGTTCAGTTTGTCCTGAGCTGGTACAAACTGGCAGTCAGGTAACATTTATCACTTTGAATAAGAACATTCCTTTGATCTGTCCACATTTGCGTAAATTCATGGCCGTAGATGAAAGAGTTACTGAAGGCCTTCAGCGAAACGAAATCCCCGTGTTCATATGTCATACAGATTTAGTAAAAGAGCCTCGGAACAAACAAAATATAAATACAGCACACGGCAATACGTCAGATGTGACCAACATATTATGAGTTAGTTTTCCGTACGGAACAACAACTTGTTACCACATCTTTGCGGTATCCTTGTGGATGTTTTTTGGAGAGTAGAACGCTTCATGGTCATTTCACCACAGATATGTTTCTCTTATTATACTATTTATATCTACGCAGTTTATGGTGACACTAATTTATATTTTTATCCTTTCTTTAATTACAATTGTAAAGTCGCTCCTGACGACGTGGGAGGGGGGGGGAGGGGAGTGGACGTCTGATTCCATCATTCTTAACTTCTATAGTAGACAGAGAAAAACTTTTAACTACTGATGTTTTGTTACCGATCAAGTCTGTGTAGTGACATTCCAACTTATGTCCCGGAGATACTCCCCTTAATCTTCGACCCGGATTACCTTCTGGAATATTATTTCTGGTTTTCCTTAGTTTATTCTGCCTAAATCCGGGGGCAGTGTTTTAAGTATATGATGGCTGTTAGGTTTCAAACATTTACACAAACTAAATCGATGGAGCAGAATGACTGTCGAAAAGCTGATAGTACCTCATTTAGTAAACAAAATTGGTCTTCTATGGGACAAAATGGTTTATTACCATATTCCATAAAAATGGAAAAAATAGAATATTTAAATTTCTGTGGCAGGTTTAAAAGATGCCTGCTGCACCCCTGTTGGAAACCGCTGATAGTAAGTAATCTGTCTTCTAGGTTGTTGCGCCGTATAGTCAGGTAGAAGTATACCGACGTTTCAGAGGTCTTTTCTGCCCCCATCATCAGGGCGATAATGGAGGCAGCAAGGACCTCTGAAACGTCGGTAAACTTCTATCAGACTACACGGCGCAACAGCCCAGAAGACAGCCATCTTCAGACTCACCACCGTGAAAACCCCAAATCCTACATAAAAACAGTTTCGTTAACAATGTAAATTTTAGCCAATAGTTTGGCTTCACGAAGTCTAGTTCCAGATAACTGGAAATGGACACAGTTTGTGATAGTTCTAAAATTATGTGCCTCACATTTTTTGCCCTTGAGGCAAGGTTACATGATGTTTTATCGTATGATCATACACTGTCACCTTGACTAGTCACTACTGTGCGTCCGCTACTCTTTGATTGCCAGATTTTAATTTTTAGACTGTTGAGTCATTGCTGAACATGGGGTTCCCCGTAGCCAGATTAGCAACAGGCAACGGGGACGCACTCCCTGCAATGCTCACTTTGAAATACGTTTGTAGGCTTTCAAGTCCAAGTAGCATTGTATTATAATTAGGTTAACGTTGATGTGTGTCAATTAGGTTAGCGAATATGGCAACTAATTCAATCATCACAGTTTATTATATTAGCATATTTTCTCTGTATGCAACACGCAAGTGTTGGTTGATATTTTATTGTTTGCTGTTAAGGAATTTTGGGCCATACGAGATAATATTTATGACCATGTGTGTATAGAATGCCCCTAAAAGATGTACACACATTCAGTGAATGAAATAAAGACATTTTAATAAACTAAACTATTACATACGTCAGTATTGGCACGTAGTGAATTCAGTGTCTGTGTTCAAAATGACCATCGTTAGCTTCGTGGAACAGTTGACAGCGGTGAGCAACTGACTGACAAGCGGCCACCAAGTTTGAGGCTATGTATACGTCTTTTGAGTCACACTGTACTGGACATTTTTATATTACTCATAACGCCAGTGTTCATTTAGGTCGACTGTCCTGTTTTATATCTGGAAGGTCTTCGGACGATTCCTGGTCCAGAGGGTGGTCATCGTGACTAATTTTCGTATTTTTCCTTCGTCCTTGTAAACAGATTTGTGAATGTTTGGTTGAAACAGATTTTGATCGCGTTCTTAAAAATCATTATCAGTTTATTTCTTCAGTCGTGTAATTTCACGGTACGTTACCTATCCAGTTGAGAAGGCATCATTAAATAAATTGATGAATGGAAAGATGCAGTAAGATAAATAATTTTACTGGAGCCCCCCTGACATTGAATAGGTAGGGAGTATTTTTATTAGCTAGTTCTTCGAACAAGTGGATTTATTCTCTTCAGTGTATTTAATAAACTGCTTATTCAGCTGGAGTTTTTGGAAGTAGCAGCCGAATTTATAAATGTTGTTCACACGATATTTAATTTTAAACATGATATTCAGATTACCGGTAATGATTAACAGCTGTTACTGTATATGTCTCATCGTTGCCCCATCTACACGTATTCAAGATTTTCAATTAAGAAAACTTGCCAGTTTGAAACGTGACTCAGAATGTTTATGCAATTGTTCTGGAATCACCATAGGAGCATAGGCCTGCAATTTATACATTGCCCTTGTTATCAGTTTTGTAAGATTTTCACATCTTACCTGTAAATATGACTCACATCTGATCTGTTCCACTGCCTAGAAATATAGAATAGTTTATCTGACGGATATCATAGTGGAAATATCCATTTATCTATTAACGTAAAGACCCATACAAAAGTAGTCCCCAAACAAATAAAATTTATTCATTCAGACAATGGACAATGTCCATAAAACGGACTTCTATTTTGAAAGATTTTAATAGTAATATGAATCTCATTAGCGGAATGAAATCTGTGAAAGTACAAGATTACAATACTCTTTTATTAATGTAAGGAATATAAGTTACAAAACATAGATGATTTGATCACACTTTTACATCAAACACATAAGTAATCGTATCAGTTTTGCTGGTGTTAAAACCGACGTTTCTCCCAGTTGATGATTTAGCATATTACAGGACGTTTCGAGTTTTATTTATGCGAAATTAAAAATCTTTTAACTACAGTCTGTTGAAAAAGCGGCTTATAATGGTGACTCTTATTGTATAAGCAAGAGGAAACATCGAATCTGTAATAAAATATGTTTAAAGAAAGTTGTGCTGTAGAACTGAGCATTAGTCAAATCTCGGCCTCTTACATACGATAAAGTGTTATCTTAAAGCCCTACAACATTTATTACCATGGTGATGAAAAGTCAACTGTAACTTGCTCAGTAGGCAAAAATGAGTGGCTCACTTTACAGAGCTGGAATTCTTTAAACACATTTGTATCAAGAATTAGCTTTAACAATGCTTATTCTGTGCTTCTAAACTGTAAAACGATAACTGAAGACTTGTTTTAGAGTAGCTTATGTATCTAGCATGACATATTAACTGGAGGTACGATATTCTAATTCTAGTTAATGTGTTAGCCATCTGAGTCGAAACGACGGCTTTATGAAAGGCTGCTGCAGCTCGGCTTAAAACTAAAATTACCCTGCATGTCAATGTTTGAACTGCAGTATATCTGTACGTGTGTTTGTCCATATTCATCTCATAATATTTTGAAACTTTTAACATAATAACATGGGTTTATGGTGCCTGAAATTAATCAGTCTGACTCAACTAAATGAACAAGCAAGATGGGAGCGAAAATACATGAAGTTTTAATTGTAAGTTTCTTGTAAAATGCAGCAAATGCCAGTGTCATGTGAGAGCTCTTATGCAGTGTTGATTTTGTAGTAAGCGTTTCTTAAATCTTCATTACTGTTTCCCGTCAGGATCGGCATTGTTTCCTGCAGGAATATTATCATTTTTATTGCTGTAGAACGTAACAGGCATTCCAGGAAACCCAAATGAGGGATATCCATAACCAAATGGGTTCCCATAAGATCCAGGGTATATTCCTGGGAATCTCCCGGGGTAAGCTCCAGGGAATCCTCCATATCCTCCATATCCTCCGTATCCTCCAAATCCTCCAGGGTAATAACCGGGATAGGATCCAGGAAATCCTGTTACGGGAAAGGATCGCATGCTCACTTTCCCTTCATTATTTTGGTAATCAAATTTCGGAGAATCCGCAAGTGTCAGCAGGATATAGGCAGCGACCACAGTCAGGCCTACAGCTATTTTCTGAAATGCAAACATTGTAAATATAATTGCACGTCTTGGATCGTAATGAGCATTTAATATTGATCACTCGTCAAACATTTTCCCAAATTTACGGAACCTAAGATCAATAGTTGATCTTGTGCAATCCACTTCACATCTCCGCTTATTTTTCTAAAATCCATTGATAAAGTTGAAGATGGCTGTCTTCTGGGTTGTAGCGTCCTGATAACGGAAGCAGCAAGAATCCCTAAAACGTCGGTAAACAACTACTAGAAGAGAATAATCTTTATACTCGCCGCCGTAAGAATCTGAAGTCCGCCACAGGTAAAGCTGTCCCTTGTGCTTAAGCAAGCACCACGCCAAAGAAATGTACGGGGAAGTGGAGGTATCTATCCACATATTATTGTCTTTGGTGCTAGATGAAAATCCGTTTAAATACGCAGTTTACCCGGAAGACAGTCCATTCTGACAAAATTTTTAGTTTCCCAAAATCTCTCAAAGTGAATTTTGGGATGGCGCCATAAAATAGGCCACGAAGCTTTCATTTTACATCGTTACCAACTGACCGTTCAGAATAATCCATTCTACGACATGTAAACTTTTCGTCGTGATTGAAATTAAGTAACAACAAACACAACCCAAAATCGATATAATTGTATTTTGTGTATTAAATACGATATAGGCCTAAAAATATTAATACAAGTTTAGACATGCCTAACAGGTAATAGTGCTAGGGCTGCATACATCTCTCCTAGTTGTACATTTGCAGATTGTCCTGTTTGGCCGAATTTTACCGGAATAAATCTAGACAATTTCTGGAGGCCGGTCGCATTCCTTAACTGATAGCAGTTGGCCTACTAGATGATCACAGAAAATATTGTTCTAGCTTCAGTAGAATCTCAAGTGGATTCCATCTACTGTAACATGATGGGGAATTTATGGTTGGGATTTCTGTAAGTGTGTTGAAATGAATGTGTGAACGAGTATTGAATTACTTATTAAAATATGTGACGTTTTCGCGGCTGCGAAGGTGATGATGACGTTCATTTGGGTCTCTGCGCCCTGTAGACTCGCGGGTAGATTCCAGCGTTTCGAAGAAACATACTGTTTCCATCTTTTACCCAATATCGCAACTTCATCCTTGAAGATGGAGACAATATGTTTCTTGGAAATGTTGGCATCTACCGACCAGTGGACACGGAATCAAAACCCAGAAGAACATCATCATCCTCATCGTCCTGAAAACTTCAAATTATATATTTAGGCGTTTAGTTTATTGTGAAACATTTATTAACTTATAACGTGAAGTTTACGTAATTATCGAAATTTTTGTCAGCTTGCTTAAAAACTAACAGTTGTTTGAATGAGTGTTTAATGCCAAACTCAATTTAAGACCCCAAAATTTGTTCAAGTGAATAAATAATTGTTAAATTTTGAAAATATAAGTGGTAATTATTTAAACAACGGTAATACGTTGTACTTACCAAGTGTTGAACCATGTTCACCAACTCAGATGTCTTGGGGGTTTCTCTCCTGCTTCCGTTTACAACTGATTCCTGTCGTAATGGCTATCGTGTCTTTTATATGCTCGCTTGAACATCACAAGCTGCGCTCGTATTGCACACAGAAAGACAATGCCGGTGCTATGGAAGTTGGTGACAAAGTAAGGTGATTCATTTGCATTTCAGAAACTACGTTTGTTGTTATCATGGATTTTTGACCTGTTCCCGGCACCGGAAGTGGATAATGTGACTAATTTAACACGGAAGGGACGAGCCGTACGTCCAACAGGTAAGCCCAAGACAAAGAGGGCGACCACACACTTGAGCTCAGCGTTAATGATTTGCTAAGATTTTATGTGCGGTTCTTCCCTACCGTATGTATATTTTAATGTAGTTTCACCGGACATAAAGAGTAATACAGAAAACCTCATATGGGTGTGTGCTTTATGATCGATTCGTATGGATGTATTTCGTAAGCACTGGTGATGGCGTGTCACCCCATTATTCCTTAAATGCTTCTTCGTCATTTGCGAGTTAATTAACTGATCAAGAAACATATTACCGCGTAATTACTAACCTACCTAAAATAGTAAAAAAATAAATATTTAACGAGGTAACTAACAGACCAGTGAACCAACCAAATAACCGAATCACCAAACCTGTTAGCTGAATGTCACAACAAAACGTAACTAATTTCTTCCTACAATCGAAGTTTCGCAACTTAAAAACACGTTTGGCGGGAAAGTAAATTTGTTTAATTGCGGGAATGATCTCATAGGGCAGTGACATTCAAACTCACTTCTTGGCCGACTTACGTTATCACTGTTACAAACTGTCTGGACGTTGTTGTTATTTTCTATTGCCTTCCTTAAATTTATTTGTTGGATTTTACGTATTACTACTTGTAATAGTTAGGTGTATTCTAAATGGAATGGAATTAAAATGGTTCTAAGAGAAACAGAATGTAAGGTTGTGAGCTGAGTTCAGTTGTTTTATGTGAGCTGCCGGTGGCGAAATTTCGTTCGTTGTTGTTTAAAGACATGGCTGTATATTCCTTCTTAGGCTAGTCAGTAATGTACCGTCGTTGAATAAATCGTTTTTCCATTAAGTTACTTCGTAATCCGGCAGAAATTTTAATGTTTTAAAGTCGCAACAGTCGTAATTCGAAAATCGAAAAGATTCGTAATGCAGGATTTCCGTTTCACGCTGTGCTTCCATAAGTGGAATGCTGTGTTCTGTGCAAATTGCAAACCAGATTTGCATCCGGAACGGTCGTCGTCCCTTGTCCAAGGCGTTCTTAAAAATATGCGAAGGATCATTGTTTCGTAATTAATTCTTAAGTGTAGTAGACCAGAGAGAGGTCATTATCCGTTCACGGCTTAAGAAGAGTGTAAGTTTACTACAGTGTACATTGATTGTATATATTTTATTCACATCTTACGCAACTGGAAACAAACCATTTTGGCAAATGCCATTTAAATACATTTTCTTTATTTAAAGTTGTTTTGTCTCATTGAAACAATGCGACAGAGTGTCTTAAAACACGGAATATAAATAATCACATTGGATACAACTCCGGTGTAACTTCAGCATTCAACTTTGAGAGCTTAACATTGTTTATAAAACACATTTATACCGCACTAGATGAAAACAGTTGTCATGTATCTTTGCTGCAAGGACAGGTGTCTTATTCAAGGTATTTGTTTGGCTTTATCCAAAGTATCCATGTCCCCCTGGGTAATGAGGCCTGAAACCAGATCCACCATGAGGTCCAAACCCTCCCCCCCATCCACCACCGCCCCAACCGTCTGTCACAGAGCGTGGTGCTTACTAGCGCTGCTGCTAGCAGGGCTGCGATCTGAGGAGACAAAAGAAATTGACACACTTTATTAAACTTGTAGGAGCCAGAATTCCAAAAGATTACAGGTAGTATACACCCTGTCGTAGTTACTGACAAATTTTATTTCCGTCTTCGTTCTCTTAAATTTAGTCTGTAATGAAATTGCATTTACTTTCAGACATTTCCTTGCAGCGTGTTAAATAGAAATAACGTGTCTTATGTTGCAAATATCGTAAAATATTTATTGGAAAGTGCATTCAACTTTTAACTATCCTAAATCCGTGTTATATTAGAATACTGTAGTCTCTGAAAGGTCAAATAAACGTGCAAATATAGCCATATATTTAAAATTACAGAAGTATGCACTGTTAAAAGCAGAAGTAGTGTTCCAATAGCAATACCGTAAAATAAAATCATTTTACAAAAATGATTTTTGTGTACTTGTAATATGAAGTATTAATCCGATTATTCCTTTCATTCTCACACTATTTCAATTTATGTAGGCTTACTACCAAATGATATGAATTAACGAATTTAGGGGATAAATATGAGTATTTCAATAAATACTGTCGGGGCGTAAAAAAGTTTTAAAGTGTTTTACAAATTGTGATCGATTTTATTATAGGCGTACATATAATTTCCATCAGCATTAACATTATCAGATATAAAATATGTTACTTTAATTGTGGTACACAATTTAAAGAATTTTTGCTGCAGAATGCCAGGGACAATACCATGAAATATTTTCTTATACATAATTTTTAAAATTTTTGAGTTTTTAGTATAACCATTATTATTAAGCATTTTATTATAATTTCATATTTTCGTCAACACCTATCTCTTAGTTATAAACTATAAAAGGCCCGTTGAAGTTCAGCGGGAAATCAGAAGGTCTTTTTATATAATTTTCCCACCGATGCGCCATGTAGGACACAAATTGCAACAGATAGGCAGACAGACATTATCTCATATATAGGATTTCAGTTGAAGGGAAGAGAATTGCTGAGCAATGTGCATCAGCCATTCTGCTCTTAACATTGAAATATTGGAGCCACCGAAAATATTGCCTACACCTGTTGCAAACAAGAAAGAACAGCAAACCGGGAAAGGACAGGTTACGCACTACAAGAATAAAGTCCCACACATGTTCAGATCTGTAAGAAAATTACAATGGCACAGTATCTGACAACTGAAAAAAACCCAGTATTTGTAGAGAAACGTATTTACTTGTTAATTGATTTTCTGTTCTCAGAAATGAAACCCTCGCTTTATTAGATCGTGTTTTGATTCCGCCAGATACCGAGTTCGACTCTATCTGAAGCCAGTCATCCTGACAGATTTCTCGCAGTTTTCCTTGGATTTCTCAGGATAAGCTGCGACAGTACCTTGCATTAGGCCACGATCATTCGCATCCTGTATAATTTGTGTAGTTGAAGAAGTGTTATTAAATAAACAGTATGTAAGATGAGCTGTGTTTTGTCTGGTGTAAAGTAAGTTTTTAAAGTGGAAATATTCTGAACCTCTACTACAGAGGTACCGGTTCGGTTAACGACTGGTTTATCATTTGTCCTGTCCACGATTTTGCTCAGTATTTCTAAACTATTGCTTTAAACAGGTAACGACTACCTACTTACAGATTCACAATGCCAGTATCTGTGAGGAAAGTTCCCGGCAATTTACTGATAAATAAGTCCTTTCTCTCTGTTCTGAAACTGTGTGTGTCCACTCACCAAAATCAACTTCTTCATGGCTTTGTCTTCCGTGGTTTCTCAGCCCAGAATGGTTATAGATTGGTGCGTAATCGAGACAGGTCTGCTGACTATATATAGTCGATGTGAAATGTCCACAACTCAATCTGTTGAAAGATCTGGCTTCAAAACAGTCCCCACAAATGACGTCAGTAAATCTTAATGTTTTGTCAGTAAATGCCTTGTGTTTGATATAGTGGTGTCACAAACAAATGACCACACAAAATTATCGTGGTTATAACGTAACCGACGTTTCCTCGTGTTCTGCTAATCATAATTCCACCATCGGTCCAAACCCATCTGTCACTGCTTCGTGAGGTGTGCGATAGCCCATAGTAAGCAGCACGTTATCATACCCTAGGCTTCGTCTCAGACCCAGCAGTTGGCTAGTAGTTTATAAGGTAACCAGAAATGGGACGTACACTGACAGATTTTTTTCTCGTGGCCATTGAGACACGTGTGAGGTAATGTTTAATTTCAGGACGAGGGGGGTGTCAATGTACAGGGATCTGCGATGTCTGGCTTTAAGAAATATCTTGAATTAAGACCATGATCGCTTCCTTCTCGATGGCTTCAAGTTAATTATTTATTATTTATCCCATAATTAGGCGCTTTATAATCTGAGCTACTAACAAGGACAAGAATTACTGAAAACGTCGTTAAATAAACCACAAATAAGATACGATATTTCAAGATCCTGCAATAAATGACGCCATTCTGAATTCGGCTTCAGAAGTTTGCTCAGCATTCACTTCAATATTATCGGAGACTTAAAAAGTACTGTATAAGGAGTGGCACATGCAAAGTTTAAATTTGTAGCAGAATTTAGTGAAATTCTATTATTATCCGGACAGACATTACACCAAGGATCATGAGAAATTTGTGTGGGGTAACACGGAGACAACGCTTCACGTAATTCCCAGACCTTGGTGCCTACAGGAATTCAAGCATTTGCTTTAAGCTGGTCGTCTTTAGTGTCAGCATGTGCGCGCAGTAAACATTGGTGATGATACAGAGAAGATTAAATGTCGTTTTGGGCAAGGTGATGAGGGAATTCGAACTCAAACTTATCTGCTCTTGAAATGATAATATGCAAGCAGCGGAATAAAAGGATCGGTTGACATAACGCTCCTACCGCCTTTAACCCCATGAGTTAATTGCATCTATTGAAAAAGAGACTGAGTGAAAAGAGTAGTAGAGTATAGACGTAATAATTTTAGTATTCCTCTCTCTTAGTTCGGAAGTACTTGCTTCAAATTCTGACTTGAATAAGTTGACGAGATCTTCCTAATATTTCTCACAATCCATAAGAAGATTACACAATAGCACCTACGCCATTTCACCATGACATATTCTCAGGCCATTAAAAGCTCTCATTTATAATAGCTATTGCCACTTCTTATATCGAATCTTTATAAAATGTACAGTCGTTAAACATACTCTAGCCGCAGTCATTTGTTTTGACTTCTTCTTGGTAGCTCTAAAGCCATTTTCGAGCCTTGAACTCCTCTGAGTTCTTTTTTCTGTCCCACTTAGGCAGTACTACACCAAAGATGGTTAATGTCTCCATCGAAAGTTCTCTGTATTTATAGAACACCAAATAAAACCTTGAACAAGTTTACAAGCCCTGAGCGGTATTGGAACCCGTGATTACAGTAGCAGTACCTAAGTCGCTGGCTGCTAAGTTTCGAATCGGATTATGGAGCTAACAAGAAGCTGCTTAGATAAATTACTAGACTGTATGAGTAACAGTTATATGATGTGTTTTGTTATGTCTGTTTATTACATCTACAACAAATTACAGCCCATTAGTCTTTATTTTCTTAGTTTGTTTAGCGACTTCAGATTTTGTAAATCTAGTCCTCTGTCGCCTTGTTCAGTCAGTGGACAGTTCTGAGATTCTTGTTCCGATTCACTCCCCTGGACACTCCAAAAGACACGTTTCTGTGTTTCTTAATTGGATATGTTTACTATCTGAAGATTATTCTTATTACAGTTACTTAATTTAAATTATTATTAATATTAAATGTTGTTCTTTAGAATAATTTGTCGAAACGTGTCTCCGAATTTGCTTGAACATATATCACTCCTCATGTCCGGAAAAACGGTTAACATTTTACGCTGCATAAATTTGATCACAAGTTCGCTTTCGAAAAAATGTGAGTGCTTGTAAATAAACGTCACTTATAGAAACTGTTATAAACTGTCACGTAATAAAGTAAAGAGCATGAATCGGTAAATCGTTTAGCAATAATAAGATAAACAATAAATGCATACAGAATTTCATCTATAAAACCTTACGGACACTGTCTAAATGGTAATAATAGGACTAGATGGATGGACAAAATTAAAATGTGTGTTAGGGAAATTAGACATGAAAATGTGAAATAGTTTGCATTGGCGAGTTTTTTGAAATCGCGCTGTTAGACCTCAAATATTGATCTTAGGGAATTTAGTTCAGCTTTATAAAGTGTATTTAAATGACTCAAAAGAAAATACAGTGGAGAGTTTCTCTGGAACACAATTTAACCTTCTGGTTCAATAGCTGGTGAATAGTTGAATATCTGTCAACTGCTCAGGATGGACTGTATTTTGTACCAGGCAGGTAATTAGTTACAATTCACTCAAATTCTTGATATGAAGTTTCATGAAAATAAAGTGAAATAAGTCCGTCTTAGAACAAATGCCATGTTAAGTAATGCATTTATTTAATGGGTCATTTATTAATTATTCATTAGTTTTCATATTAAGGATGTTACAATAAACGTCAGCGTCCGAAATGAGGTTTGCCATAAGTATGCCCATATCCATGCCCATATCCATGGCCATGTCCGTAGCCATGCCCATGTCCGTAGCCATGTCCGCCTCCGAAGTGAGGTCTGCCACGGGCTTCTTCGAATTGGTGGCGTTTCTCACGAATCTCGCTTGCCATTGCTAGTGCTGCCATCAATAGAACTACAATCTAGCAGATAAACGAGCACATTAGACAGAATTCATAAAAAAACAATCATTATGTCTTAAAAATAATCTTTCACTTGTATGTTCATAATGAAAGTCGAATTCCGTCTGAAGCGTCTGTCGCCATGGTTACTGAATGAGGTTGCAATGTTATGGAACTAGCCGTGTTGCTCTGTTCTCTATGGTAACATGTTAAAAAGTTTTTATAGTTTTTGATAAAGTAAATATACGTTCTTATAATATTCATATCTTTCTCAAAGAAATTCATTTCAAACTTTATGATAAATAAGTGTCGATGAACATATTTGGACTTAAAAGAGATGAAGCTAGGGAATGATAGAAGAAACGTCATAAAATAGAACTTCATAATTTGCACTTTATACTAAATATTGCTAGCGTAATTAAGTCAAGGCGAGGAAAGGAGTAATGATCAAAACGTTTAGTACGAAAACCGCAAGAGACGACTTGAAATACCTAGGCATGTATTATTTATTTTGTTTCTTTTTGGTCTGTTTAACGATGCTACTAGCAACTGATAGTATAAAGAATGGAATGATCAAAACATCAATGGACTGGAAAAAATGTGGAAGGAAGAGATATTATTTCAGCATTTACCTGAAGGGACTGAGGAGACTCATGAAAACCTCAGTCAGGATTGCCGTTCTTTGGTACAAGATTTCAGTTCCGAATTCCCGAATATGAAGCAGTAGCTCTAACCACTCGGCCATGTTATTAGTAGAAGGATGATATTAAAATGGATCTAAAGTAAGTAGGATGTAAGGTTGTGCACTGGATTAAACTAACACATAATAGGGTCCAGTGGTAGGTTCTTGTGAACGCGGTAATTGGTCTTTGGCTTGCATAAAGTCAATCTCTTGATCAACTGAGCAATATCAACTTCTGAAAGAAGCCAGTATGTGATGTAATTAGGTCAAGTTTTAGTGTCTCAGGAACTATTCTGGCAGTTTGAACCAAATGAGTAATAAACGTCATTTAAGTGTTATTTTTATAGCCGATAGGTCCTGGAAATATTTATGATTCACCAGCTAACTCTCTGACGTTTCAAAATCTTGAACAATTTTTCTTAAGCTTAACGTATTCCTGTGATTAGCCATATCTGTAAATGTGGGTCTGAGGATCGAGTCATGATAACTGACGTAGTAGAAAGATGTTGAACATCTCAGGTGTAGGTAGCCTATAATTGATTATTATTTACCACTCACCAACAGAAACGTCTTCATGATTGTGTCTTGTTCAGCTTCACGACTTTAGCTCTCGATTGCTTCCGAATAAGGCCACAACACTCCATATATACGAGACGATGTTGAATGTTTACAGGTCACTCGGTCTCAGATTTCACACGTCTGGAGCCTAAAAACATCCATTCCTTACAAATGATATCATAAAACCATTATGTTCCTGGATGAAGTGTTGCATTTAGAGTTTGGAAATACTGCGCAAGTTTTATGTATGTTTTGTACAACATTTAGCTGTCTTAAATATGTGATAAAACTGTCCTTATACACTGAACCAAATTTAGGCCCAAATAAACTGTGTTTTAAACACAAAGTCTTTAATTTACACCAGTACAGAATTTAGTGTGCACATAGATGTTTGGATACAAAATATTTATGTGCCGAAATGGGTCTTCTGGTTTGTAACGCCATGTGAATTTAAAGGTAGATATCAGCGTTTCGGAGGAACGTACTGCCTATACCTTCAGCCCTTTCTTAATTTAACTCAAATCGACTTTGGTTCATTCATATGTCAGCTAGAACCCAGATTTATAAGTCATATTCTCACGAATTACACAGATAGCTTGCTGCCACGTTAGATTTCATCGCATACACATTTCGTCCGTTCCTGATAACCCATAATTTCTGTGGTCCCTAACGACCAATCTGTGACATGTCCCTGGAGACAATAACAAGTTCTGTGAAAACCCGGTCTGTATTGACTTCGTCATTTGGTACGTCAGTGATTCTCGGATAAGCTATTAAGGAGCATTAGAAACAGTTTAATGTTCGTCATCTGCTAAGAAGAATTGAGAATATGACAATTAGCAGTGAAGTGTGTGAATTGGATTTCCCAATATATCGTCGTTGTGCTTATTTCCTTTAAAGCCAAATATTAGTTTCAGTCAGTCTGATCATGCACCTGGAGAAGTATATAATCTTTTAGTTGAAAAGTAGACATGGTTAAATGTTATTAATATTGGCAGATGCTAATGCTCCGGTCTGACAAGTAGTACGCCGTCAGACAACTATGATGAGAGGAATATAAAAGAAATATGTAACAAAAAAGCAGCATATTATTATTATTATAATTATTAAAATACTTCGGCATTTTGTTGCGATTGTTATGGAGATTAGAAATATTGCGTTTACGTGATATCTAGTCCAATATTCGAAACTGAATTTTACTGATTATAGATTAAGATCGGCACTGTTTCACATATATTCCGTGATTGATATCGGTATCGACATTTTATTTAGTGCCAGAGAAGGGAATATTGCGAATTTTTACGATCCAAATCATCACCAGTTGTAGTTATATTAGAAGATGTGTTATCTGCTCTGACCTTACCTGTACGACATTAGTAAAACGAAGGACAGTTACTCAACTTCAGGACTTCCGTTTAGCATAAGGATTGCACCACATTTGTCAATCCCGTGTGTGTTGCGTACAGGGCATTTCCAAAAATTATTTCAGAACTTTGTATTTTCATAACATGTAATATATTCATGCAACACATTTAATTTTGCAGTTACATAGTTTAAATTAAACTTAATTTGCTCACTGAATTTCCGGTTTTCTCATTTAATTGTTCCATGAAACTCCCACATTTTATTTCATTTAATGGCTCGAAGATGCTATGTCTTCTTAAAATCGCCCTCCATCCAAGAGAGCAATAAAGACTCCTTGTCCACCGCTTGTAGTCTTTGTCTTGTACGTATGTAGGCTATACTCTGATGTTGCCAGAGAACCATTTACGATGATTTTTCTTTGCTGAGGATAATATTGGGACTGAGACTAAGTAACGTGAATGGGCGAGATGAGAAACGCACACCCCACGTTTTGTGCGAAAATGTCGGAAGACGTTGACTATTCAAACTAGGGGGCATTCTTAGCTTTTGTAACTCACTTTGTTGTATGGTAATCCATGTTTCAAATAAACTGATATATTTGTAATCTCCCGATATATTAATAAATAATAATTATACTCGTATTTTAATTTAAAAATATGTATATATTAGACAATACATGTGCACAGTCTTACATTTTAATTGTAGCTGTAATTTTAGTGTGGGCCCTAAGATTCTATAGTTGTGTTGACTGACAGAATATATGATTATTCCTTCTTGAAAAGCTAATTCTACGCTTAGCTAATGAAAATCCAATTCACACGCTCTATCCCTAAGGTCCATTTTAATTTTTTTGAATCTGAAAAGTGTTTTTTACAGCAGACTTCTGAATTATGGATTTTACTCGAATTTCTTTATCGATATCCTAGTAGATAAAAGAATAAAATTGTTTCCGGTTCTCCAAATATGCATGAATAATGTTGTTGATTGTTTCTCTATGAATCATTCGGTATTTCTACACAAATAGGATGTGCTCAGTTTTGCACAATATTGTGGAACCTGTTGTACTGGTAGAAGGTAAGGCCAGAACATAGCGATAAGATTGTTGCCGTATCAAATGTCAGTAGTAGCCAGAACTTGAAGACACTAGCAGTGAATTTTATTTATGCAAGCTAAAGAAACTGGAATATTACAACAACTGGGGAATGGATAAACACTCAGTAAGTGTAAAATTTGAAAGTTTTCTATGAAAAGTCGTTATCAATGTCTGGTGCGAGTACTTGTGGATTGCATAAAATGTTAACCGCATTTGAACAGAGCTACCCAGTTAAGAAACGGAGAAACTACCATTTGCAATATTACATTAAAGAGGATAAATGGAAAAAATTGGAAACAAACAAACAAACAAACAAGTTTCATATGCATTCCATTTCCAATCTGCTCTGGGGCTAACATTTATCATGTCCATTCAAAAATATAACCTGGGGTACAACTATCAACTTTTCTGTGATCATATTATCAGTAAGTTTAGCGTAATATTCGATATCCCATGGATCTACTGTTATTGGTCTTGATTTGTGATGTGAATTTGCATTGGTTCCATGGGCTCCGTAAGATTCGCAATGTAAATAGCGATTATGTCCATAAACATTTAATCTTTATAATGGGTAAGTGCTTGTGTTTTCTTTGCGGTACGGACTGAATGCTTAAATACTGTTTATGTAATCGTTAGATTCAGGGGGTAATCTCCTTATTATGGAATTTCCTTCTTCGTTCTATTAACATCCTTCCTCTTGGGACCTAATGTTTTCAGCGCATTATTTTCATTTCAGAGAGACTTTATTCTGGCCATGAAAATAGTCATTGCTTCCGTAATCCTGACGATTGTCTCATCTCAAATACCGCCAGTCGCCGGCCAGTGGAACACTGCTGCCAAACCGAATATGCGCTTTTTTCCCGGTTCGTATCCCGGAAACACCGTCGGAGCACACCCCGGCGCATATCCTGGAGGCTATTTTGGAGCCGCTGCACCCCCTTACCCCGGGATCTTTCCTCCTAATGTGGGATACCCAGTGCCAGCTTACCCTGTGCCAAGATACATCATGCCAGGACACCCTGTTTCAGGATACCCTGTTCCAGGATACCCTGTTCCAGGATACCCCTACGGGGTAGGGAACCCTTTTGGATCACATCTGGGAGTCCCAATGTTGTACAACAACAAGAATTCCGGAGGAACAACGTAAATAGAATGTATGCCTGTAGCTTGTAAAGCTACTGCCTTACATTACTATATAAAGTAGTGTAAAAATACCGTTGGAATGCAACGGAGGACGAGTTGTACTTTACGCTCACACCTCTACCTTTCCTTTATTCGTGTTGTACCTTTAGCTTCTTTCTTCCACATTTCGTTTCCATCTCTTCCACATCTTAAACTCCTTCCTAGATGCAGCACCCCTCTTAAGAATATCAGCTCTTCTGTGTCAGCGTTTTCTTCGAGGTTCCTTGCGCATTCAAGTTACTCATCTTTGAGTTATTTTAAAATAATTTTAATTAACAGTTGAAGAAGACGTAACAACTGAAACACTTGTAACTTCTTTCATGTGCCGCGTAGTTCAGGACTTGCAGGCAATTTACGTTTCTGAGGAACATACCGCCTCCATCTTGAGGATAAATGACCAAGTGAAAATCTCATTTTGCTGATATCTGGACTTTACCGACCTCTGTCGAAGCTTACTACTACTTGTGTATTATCCAGGCTAGATGCCGCGTCAGTGGCACCATCTATTAGCGAACTGCGTTTTACATTACGGCTTTCGTAATTAATAACATGACTTCCTCTTGCAAGGTGGGGTTATTCAAGGCTTTCTTGCCGCGGTTAACTTTGTCATAAGGTAATGGCGAAATTTCACACCAAAAGAAATATTACCAAATAGAGAATGGCTCAAAATGTTTGTACTCAATTTTCTCCGCAAATAGTGATTGTAATTTGAGGAAAAATCCTTACTGACACACTGTAGTATTCAAGCTATTTGTTTGCTTTTACGTACCAGTGCAACTAAAGAGATTTAAGGAGATCAAATCATCTACTGAGCATGAAATCTACGCTTTTCTAAGCGATACACTCCGAAGGGAAGTGTCAGACTTTGGATGAAATTGCGAAATATCGTCGGAATTGAGGGCTTGAGATTCTGATTTGAATGTTATTTGAATGAGAGCTTATGCTTCATCGTTCAGGTGAAATAAAGAATTAAACTTCTTAGTTACATTTTTGTCTACTCACACACACACACACGGAACCCCCAAGATTTTGTATCTTACTAGCTCCATAGATCATAGCGCTTCTTTAGAAGCTAACAGTAGCTCAGCTGATCAAGAAATTCCCCGCCTGATAGAACCAGCCCATTTCAGTAACTTAACTCTCGTCCCATGTATAGGCCCCGGTCTGTTAAGAGTTCACTTCTCTTCAGTATCTTGTATTTTATGCAATTCTGTCAAAGAACACAACGCTGTTGCAACGATTCTGCAGACCCAGAATGTTTGGTTCTTGGCACTTTACTTGAAAGGATAAGTTATTCTTTTTAAAACAATTCGTGAAATATTTGCCGAACAGATTGATCCATATAAATGTCGGAAGTGATTTAAGTATTTGTTACATAATGTTTGTATGACAATATTTCTTTTAGAAGTAAATTTCTGGTGTGGAATGATTTTGTTTACTCTATACTGTCTGCCTTCTTGCTTAAGTTAAGTTCGTGGCTTCGCTCTTACTGTGCTGTGATTTTTTTAAAGATATAATGCCGTGTCTTGTTTGTGTATTTACGCTGTAAATTATATGTATTTTTCTTTGATTTACGGATAGGCTTATGAAATGTAAGGTAACAGTACGAGAGTTTTTACAAATATCACGCATCAAAAACAGTAGGAGCAAGTTTGGATCTATTTAAAGGCGGTATATGTCGTCGAAGGAATGGAAAGAGTTCAAACGAATAGTTTATTTATTAATAGATGTAGCGATCACACCGTTAACCATAATGTCCATCAATCCCATGGCTCCCATGACCACCATACCCAGTTTTACCACCGTATCCACCGCCGTGACTACCAGTGTTGCCAGAACCTCTATATCTCTCGAAGTACTAAGCCATGGCGCCAGCTGATAGCACCGCATACACCACAAAGAGCTGTCTAATTAATGCACGAATAACCTAACCTAACCTAACATAGTACGAGACGGTCTTTTTTGTAGGCAAACCGAGCTCAGTGGATGTCCAACCTGCGGTCGTTGATTTCCCGGACAAACAAAGAGCCTGTGACCTATTTGAGAGTTTGACTGGAGGTAATCGTTCAAACGGTCTTGTGAATGTGAAACTATCGTTCCTCTTCATTGTCGTTTGGTGTAATTTTTAATTATATTTTCGACCTATGCGTATTTTTGTTGTATAATTTGGATCGATGGGGTGCAAGTCGTAGGAAACATTGTTTTACTACACGCCGGATTTTCAAACAACGCCATTACCATGTTATAGCAGAAATCACTGTGCACGTATAGAGGTTTATGCTCCGGTACCAGCTCTGTCTTTGTCACACCAACCACGTATTTTATCATGACTGCTGAAGAGCGAAGAAATGTTCAGCTTAGAATTCGTCTGCCTAGGTTCTTCTTTCCGGGTCTTCTGACTATTTGGAATCGGGAACAAATGAAGTCTATCCTTTATATGAACCTCAGTAAGGTGACGTAATTTAGCCCTGAGCAACGCCAGATTTATTTCACCTTATTCACTGCACATGGACAGGGCAGAGGAGGGCCATTAGTCTCCAGTCAGTCAAATAAAAAACGACTTCTTCCTACCGGAATGTCATGTTGATGAGAACGACTTGACGAGGAGGAAGGGCTGTAAAATTCAGAAAGGAAGTATGGGCGGCGGAATCTACAGAGTGTTCAGTTTAAGTAGGTTAATTCATACAAACGACGTTGTTCCAGCTGCCGAGGAAATTGCGTTGAATAATATGTAATCTTGAATGGACAGTAGTAAGTATGATAGGAAGAGATCTTGGGCTCATTTTACCGTATTTTCTGGACGTTTGTCTGGAGATACCCCAGAGTAGCACGTTATTCGCCAGAGATTCGAATTCAGTGTTTTTAGAACATAGTTTGAAACTTTATGACTTCATGTACATCAATCATTTCGGGGTTTAAAAGCACCTCCGGTTAATGGTTATTAAGTCATTCATCCATCCACAAATCCATCCGTTCACCCAGCCCCCACATCACTCATCTATCCATCTTAGTCAGTCGAACTTGCCAAAATAACACATTTCAGGGAAATCCTACAATGGCTTCTTTCCTGCAATTATCAAAATCTTTGAAATAATAATTGCATTGTTTTGTATTTATTTCTAGGGAAACTTAATTCATGCTTAAGTATTACTGGGTATAGAGTGTCCAGTTGAATGCAGTGAGTGACTCATGGTCTGAAGTTTCAGGCTGTTTTGTGACCTGTTTGTTGCAGAAATGAAATGGAATGGAGTAATAGTATCCACTTGCACGAGAACGTCTAAAACATTACACACTGCACAAGCTAAGGGTATTGAGGGTGAAGTCGTGGTAAAATTCTTCTGTTTCTGAAGACCACGGCACCTAGCGGCGTGGGGTTAAAGCTCCACACTCAGGCATGTTTAACTCATGTATCGCATTTTCTCAAAATATGTCAGTTTGCTGTGTTCCTGTCTGAAGATTCCTTTTATTTTCATTCTTTGAAGCCCAAAGCTCATGTAAATAGAATTTAAATATTCATTTCATACCTCACAGAAAATAATTTTCTCCAAAATAATCGCAGTTTTTCTGGGAATCATACGTAACCAACAAGTACATAATTTGGGCATCTCGCAAAGCAGGGTGCACAGTTAAGCTGTAAACAGTTAACAAATTGGTCTGGAAAGGTGCATGTAACATTTCACATTACCTTGTGTACTGTAGTACAGGTGTGGTTTCCTAGTTACTTAACGGGTCTATTTCATGGGAAGATACATACCAAATTATTTCAGTCGCAAATTAAAAATTGGATCGGTGTAATATAAATATGACGCACGACGATTTTTGGAGATCAAGGTGCAGTACAAAACCGACCGACGCTCACGCTTGCAAATATTGTGACCAACTCATTTCCCAGTAGTTACTGCTGCATGCTGTCATGGCGGGTTCCACTTTAAGTTGGACACTCTGCGTATACACAATATCACATTTGTAAGGGAATTCGTTTTATTTATTAACGAAGGCAAATGTTACACTATTTGCCGTATCCATGTCTGTAATGCTTATGTCCATATCCATGTCCATGTCCGTAGCCACCATAACCACCATAGATACCATAGACGATGTACACACGTCCTACACCATAACCACCGTAGCCGCCGTGTCCGTGTTTGTACCCGTGTCCATAGCCGCCACCATAACCTCTACCGTATCCGCCATATCCGCCGTATCCGCCATATCCGCCGTATCCGGTGCACATGCTTTCTGCTAGGGCCATCAGCAAAATAAACAGAATCTGAAATAAACGTTTTTAAAGTAGATTTTGTAGTCGCCCTCTAAATGTTGAGAAATGCACTTTAGTCTCACCTGTAAACTTGTTTTTACAAGGCCGTGGATGATAGTTCCAGTCCTTGGCTGCACGTGAGACTGGGGAACATAACAACAGCATTTTCTGTGGCCATATGGTCGTGTGGTAATACAGACATTCGTAGAAATATTCATATACAGTTTAAAGGTGTTACAGAAATTTATTGTTATTCGGGATTAATTCAAAAAGATAGAATTTTCACAAGTGTATTTTTTCTGTTGGTACCGGAAGCTGTGATCGGGGTTCGATCCCCGACGGGGGCAGAGGATTTTTTTTTTCCTCTAGCCTCTGCGCCCAGATCGGCTCTGGGGCCCACACAACCTCCTGTCCAATGGGCATCGGGATCCTTTCCCGGGGGTAACGTACGGCCGGGGCGTGATGCTGACCACTCACCCCCATCTAGTGCCGAGGTCAAGGAAGAGAGGAGGTCACTCGCATCCATCTAGTGCCAAGGTTAAGATTTCACTACTCAGAAATTCGTTTTAACTTTGTGGTTAAGTAGAGCGAACGACATTAACTTCGTACTTTCCAGCTTTCCAAGTCCACACGGCGTCACAACCCAGAAGACTGCCATCTTTACGCCTGCTATTCTTAACATGCATTACTTACGTAACAGTGGAATACTGACCAGGTATCTTGACATTCTGCTGAAGACTGAAGGATAACGAATAAAAATCTTCGTCACACCTCTGCTACAGGCCGGAAATTGCCACTAACCTCTTCAGAGCTCTTCAGATTGTAGCGATGAAGAGTCTCTCTCTCTCTTATATTCCGCCCTCGGCATCAAGACGGCTTTCTTCAAGGACAATATTCGCTCTGACTTATAATATATTTTATCTTACATAATTATGGGACATGAGAAGTTAGAACTCAAGTCCATTGTAAACGTAATTTGGTTTGGGCTCTGGTAAATCCCATGAATCATTGCCCGTTCGACTCTTGGGTGGTGTGCTCTGCCTTTAGATACATCTATTCTGCTCATTCTAACATTTGTACCTTGAACTTGTTTTTCGTCTCAAACAATAAAGAACAAAAAATACATTAATGGAACTCGGCTACATTGTGTTCTCACGGCGGAGATGTTGCATCGTCTGATAAAACACAAATAAATAAAATCATTCATCACGTCTATACGAGGTGCGATCGAAAGGTATCTCAGGTATTAAATTCATCCATCACCCTCGAAGTAGTTCCCCTGGGAGTGAACACAACGATCCCAGCGCCGCTGCCAAGCCTGGAAGCATCCCTGGAAATCTTTCTTTGTCAGCCGGTCAAGCACCATCTCCGATTCTGCCTGAATCTCCTTCCCTTTAGCTGAATTTTCATCTTTGGGAAGAGGAAGAAGTCATACGGAGTCTTGAAACTTTCCGATCGCACCTCGTATATATTAAGCATTGCATTTGATGTACACTTGTGACGTATGTTCTGCCCTTGAAGAAGTTACCACTTTTGAAAATAAATCATACAAAACACGTGTTTAAATGCTTGTCGTGTGTTTATAGGAAAATCCGGATAGTATTATGATAATCAAATAAGAGAGATTGAGATGAGCTGGGTGTGTCAGTACGCATGAGCTTTATAAGAAATCCACAGAAAGTTTTAGTTGGAAAACCTGATGGGAAGAAAACACTTTGGAAATCCTAGGCATATATGGGGGGACAATATTAAAATGGAAACTTAAGCAAATAAAGTGGAAGGGTGTGGGCTGCATTTGTCTGGCTCATGATACGTGCCATTGGCTCTTTGAACACGATAATGAACATTCAGGCTCCAAAAAGGACTAGGAATTTCTTGACTGGCCAACTAGCTTTAATTCTAAAAGTTTGTGACGATGGTGCGTTGTTGAAGTAAACAGTTTTCTGGATATTATCCATCGTCCAAGATTAAATAAAATCAATAAAAACCACGACGTTTCGGAGATGGAAGTCTAACAGAGTAGGTTTTACCTGAAGACGGAGATAGACTCCCGTCTCCGAAACGTCGTGGCTTTTATTGATTTTATTTAATCTTGGACGATGGATAATATCCAGAAAACAGTTTACTTCAACAACTAGCTTTGTTCCTCAGTAAGTATTCTGTTAAATAGAGTTGGGTTAATTAAACACAAAGATAATTTTAACTAAGTATTAAATAGCTTTTCGCTTCCTGCATTTATTATTTTTCTTTCATAGAAGAAATAAGAGTTGAGGAAAATAAGCTTTCAGAAAAGTTACGCAATCAAAAATTGACCTTAGGAAATACCGGCATGTTCTGATGGGCAATGCGAAAACTCGTTTTATTACGTCGAAATCAAAATCACCATTATCATGCAAATTCGTGACCTTGGGGCTGTAAACAGGTTACTGCCCCAACTTTAGATCACCGTAGAGTTACTCTGTAAGGTGCTGCTACTTCACGATCAAATGGTGCACCACGTGTAGCTGTTTGCAGTGTACGACACCTTCTGTTAAGTTTACGAAACAAGTTGATGTGTACTCCAACATGGAGTGCACACGTTTTATAACAGATCGGTTTCAGTGTTCGCTTGTTGCAGACACAAATCTACGCTTATCAGTAGCTGAAGTTTTTACAGTATTGATTTCTTAAAATTGTTTAATATGTCCCACATCGTAGACAAACTATCGTCACTAAGATTATCGTGATTTTCCGAAAATCCTCTTGGAAAACACGGAAAATGTGACTTACAATATGTCATCACAAGTGTTTCCTTCAAAATATTCCAAAATATGTCATTCAAAACCACCTCACGTGTCGGTGCTGTGTTACGTATGAGGTCTTTTTAGTGCGTTTTGCTTTCGTATGTGTACTTTTTCATTGCAATATTCATGACAATTCGAAACCATGTAACAGGTTATCACTAGAAGGTAGCTTTCTTCTGGGTTGGAGCGCCGTGTAGTCTGAGGGAATTTCACCACCGTTTCAGAAGTCCTTGCCGCCTTCATTATCAGGGCGATGAGCAAGGACCTCTGAAACGTTGGTGAAATTCTCTCAGACTACACGGTTTTCCAACTCAGAAGACAAATATCCTCAGACTGACCGCCGTGAAAACCTCAAATCCTACAAGTTAACATTGTCATGGGAAGGATTAATAGATGCCAAAAGCGACAGACATCTCTCAGACTACACGGTTTTCCAACTCAGAAGACAAATATCCTCAGACTGACCGCCGTGAAAACCTTCCATCTCAGAAGACAAACATCCTCAGACTGACCGCCGTGAAAACCTCAAATCCTACAAGTTAACATTGTCATGGGAAGGATTAATAGATGCCAAAAGCGACAGACAATTGAAATATTAAAATTATACAAAATAATATTCCAAAAATATGCGGTGTGTTGCACTGTTACTCATATAATCACGTCAGTGCAGTAGATTTGCCTAAAGGTAGAAATTGTATTTAAATTCGTAGCTACTTTCTATAGACATGACAAAGCCGATAATAAGAATTAAATCCTATGTTTAGATTGTGATCTGCTGGGCCGATAATAAGAATTACATCCTATGTTTAGATTGTGATCTGCTGGGTTGTTGTATATTGAGTCTTCCGGATGTGTGCTAATAGATCGGAGAAAGATTTTGCCTCCATCTTCATTGTTAACTTCATGGCAAAAAATCCAGTATTCCACAGTATAAAACACATCGCCGTGAAGATTTCAAATCTTTTTTATTATTATTATCTTATTTTGTGGCAGTGACTCAGGGCTGACCCGATATGTTATTTAAATATAGATTCTTTTCAGCAAATCTATGTTCAGAACTGTTTAAATTTTTTATTATTGTAGAGGTATTTAAATTGAGTTCACTTACAAATAAGTTATTGTGAGACAGGAAATCATTTTAACATCTTATTTTATGTCGTACTCTTCTGTTCCATATGCACATTTTTAATTTACATTTTGTAACATCTGGATATTATTATCTATTTAGCTTTCTTCTCCGTGTTTCCCCATTTACATTTAAATTTATTTTAAGCGATTTATTTGTAACATTTATTATTTTACTATATGTAAGATCCTCATTTATACACAGCTACTTCTTGCTCATAAATTTCATCTCCATTTTTTGTTTCTGGACATTTAAACAGTAAATGCTCACGATCTTCCCCTTTTATAAAGAATAGTGCTTAAAATGATAATTTTATAATTGTACTTTGAATTTTCCTTTTTTTAATGTTGCTGGTTTTGAAGGAACTCAAGTTCTTGACCGTAATAACAGCTCGTTGTAACGTCTTCACGTTTGTCGCCCTATTTTCCATATCCATATGGATAATAATTATATGGAGATTGATATCCATACTGTGGATAGATAGGATATCCGTTTTGTGCATTCTGAGGAAAACCATCCACTCCAGTCTGATAACCATTTAAAGGATAATAGTATCCACCGCGAGGATATTCGTAATATGGGTTCGGGATATACTGATAGGGATATTGATAATAGGGATAACCAGTTTGGGGGTTCTGAAATACTTCATTTGAAGGATTTGCTAACAAATTTCTGATCGCACTGGATGGGTTCGTCACGTAAAATGCAGATTCTGTTACTGGAGCTGACGTCACGACACTGTACATTGTAAAATATGCTATCAGCATGACAGCGGTTGCAACCTGGAACACGAAACGAAAATAAGATTGGAAAGGTGTACCCTTTCACGTATGTTTCACGACACAATCTCATCAGGGGGGGGGGGGAAACCCGTTTTTCAGCACTTTCACATGATGTCACTGTTGCGAAACAAAGTTGATCCAATAATGACAGTTTCCAATTGGGCAACAGTGGTCTGCAAAAATGTGACCTTTGGTCCTATTATTGCTTAAAAACTCGGCAGGCAAACAGACACGGACGGGCCCGTGGGATGGTTTACGCTCACACCAGAATGTGCAAAACACCAAACGAAAGTCATTTGATGCTGTTTTCTTTCACGTTAAAATGGAGTAGATGCAACACAGTCAATGCTACTGAATGGTCCTGTAACGGAACGGGCCGTGTCCTTATTCCAGTCTTTTTTTAAAAATAAAGTGGTCTTACATTATTTAACAACACTCTATCAGTTGCAGATATGCTACATGCCAATAAAAGGAGAGGCTTTTTCTGTGGGTTAAATTTCAAAGGTTTTGTTTCAGTATGGTTAATGTGGAAGTAATGACCTACGGTCGAATATTGACTGGATTACGTGTCCTGGTTAATGTGCTCCTGTGGTATTCCTGTGATTAAAGAGGCAGAACCGAAACTCTCTGATAACAGATTTACCTGTGTTCTCTTCGTTTCAAACTTCATTGTGTAGTCGTGACCCGGTCAGTGCTGACTGAAGTACATTGCAGCCGGACTCACTGGAAGTGACTCACAGCTACCCTACGTCCTCATACACTCGAGTTGTTTGTGTAGTCTGCCCTTCAATTTTCGCCGTGTATATCAGTACGTGGAACAGCACTTCGTCTCCATTACTGACTTGACAAGTTTCGTTATCAAGAAATATTATTTTCCTTTTTAAGACACGTCAAAGAAATGTGCAGTATAAGAGCTTCAGACTCTCTATTCAATAAGATCCTTGAAAGAAGAAAATTAATATCCTTTCAGCAGAAAAATTATCTCTTTCACCGTCAGTCTTTTAATAGAGAGCGATAGATATTTACGACTTAATTGCGAACTTCCAGTACCAAAGTAGATCAAAATACATTCAGTATTTTCGGAAATAACACCCGAGGATCAGCAGATTGAAGTAAATTACTTTTGTTTGCATGCATTTTATTGAAGAAACGTATTTGTACTATATTTTTGCGCGGAGTTTTCATGATAATGGAACCACAAATTGCGGCAGGTTATCACAATGTGACGTGTGGTAAAGACAAGGTTATCTTCCGCACTTGTTCCACTGTCCTTGAGGCTGCTTGATGACTAAGCAGTCACGAATGACGTGTGGTGATAGCCCAGCACGCTAGTAACGTTGGAATCTCGTCTTGACGGACCGAACGTCGTGTCCGCGTGGTAAGCATTTCTGCTTCGTATTCGGGCTGTTCTGGGTTTGTTTTCTCATCCCGAAGAACTGGTATCCTGACTGAGAATCTTGTGTTTTCAAATGTTCCACCACGGATGTGCTTGCATAGTAGCTTAAAATAGCTCACGACCGCTTTCTTTCGTATCATTTCTAATTCATTATTAATTAATTATCCTATTATTCGGAACGGTATAATCTGAGGTACTGACAGCGTTGTTAAATAAACCACAGATGAAATAAAATTTCCTGAACTGAATAATTTAAAATATATTTCACCTAGTAACGATTAAACCTGTTAGTGAATACTTGGTAATAATCCACTAAAGGAATGACTTCCCTTGCTTTTTCCTAGTTATCTTACCATTTCTCGCGTCCAGATCGGCATTGCGTTTCACACAGCCTCCACCGGGCCGTTCTTATCCACGAATGAAGGGGCTGCAGTTAGAAGCTGGAATACTTCGATGGCTAACCTCTGTTCTCCTACATGTCTCGCCGTAGTACTTAGGCTGAGTAAAAATATTACTCTTCGTCAAAGAAACAGGGCACTTGAAAGTCCCAAGAGTAGATGGAAGAATAATATCAAAATTGATCTTTCTGGAATAGAATGTGATATAGTTGATTGGATTGAACCTGCTCGGGACAGGATCCACTGGCGTACTTTCGTGAACATTGGTATAAATCTTCTTATTCCACAAAACCAGAATATTTTTTTCAGCACTTGTGTTACTGCCAAATTAACAAGGAATATCCTGCACTATGAAATTAGTCAATTAGTGAGCTTGTAAGAGACGTAATCTCTTGTAAAACAGCGAAGTTGATATTACTTGAAGAAAAGACGGAATAAAATTTTTATCTCATGAATGTATAAAATTTTGGCCATTATACCTGATTGAATTACCACTTGGGAGAACTAGGTGTAGATGTTTGTATAATATGAAGAGAAGTCTTAAGGAAATAGAATATGAGATTGAGTATTGTATTCATCTCGTTCAGGATAGGCTTCATTAGCGGGCCTTTCAGACGCAGTAATGCACTTTCGAGTTCCACAAAGGTTGCGAATAAGTGAGTCACTAAGTTTCTCAAGAAATACTGAGCATTCTGTAGTTAGGTCTGTGGGATGTAGAGAGGATAACGGAGTAGTGGGGATACTGGAACTGGAGTTTGTCGCAGTACTTAAATAAAATTAAGGTGTTGTGTTAAAATGTTGTATATAAATACTGCAAAAAACTTGACAGCTGTAATAAGAGGCCCAGATTTAAGTCGCCAAAACACTTTTTATTTGCTATTGTTTTTAAACATGCTAATAATTTGAAACTTCAGTAACTTTATATGCGAATAACTGATTCAGGTTTCTGCATGTACAGCCGTAGTTCAGTTAACATCGAGTCCTCTCCGTCCAATGTACACTGGGACCCGTCCGCCTTGTCCTCCTCGACCGATCCCAAATCTAGGCCTTCCCCTGACTCCACCGATCCGACGAAGCTCGGCATCAACACAGATGCCTGTTACCAGTAATAAGAAGGCGAGTACCTGAAGCAGAACAGAACAGAAGTTTGGCTGATTAGTAGTCTACGTATATAGTGGTAGTTGTGTGCTGCATGTTCTATTCAGCATTTTACGGGTCATCGTTTGATAAAGAAAATGTGTGTAGCGGTTTTATCCAGCCTAAAACATTCATATCATCAAATGCTACAATTCAGGAATTATTGCTGCCTGCCATGCTTTACAGAAAACACAGATTCCTAAGAGTGGATCATTAATCTCTTCCTGTTCTCTCCGGTGTTACTTTACTGAGAAAAAAATATACTGTATAAATATTTTGCTGTTTGTCAACGTTATTTGGCGAGAAAATAACAAAATGCTAGCGCTGTATGATGGCTGTCTTCTCTAATTAGTATTCAGGAACAAATCCTGGGTTTAAATCTTGGATTGGTACCCGCTTTCCCGACAGGACTGAAACATTTAGTTTCCGAAACGTTGAGTTCTTTTGAATATCAGGCGATGGACAAAGTCCAAGAATTTAGTAATCTCCAGGGTTTTCATTTTTTTTTCCACATATCAGGCAGATGCTGAGATTCGAGCCGCTTTCTTCTATACCATTTGTAGTTAATTGCTCAAAGGCATCGTGCAATTTGTTTTGATCAACAAAGACAAGGTCTTGTATAGTGCGTGACGATTGGCTACTCGGCAACATTAATAAAGGAAAACGTAAGTCTCTCTTTATAGCTGTGACTCAAGAAACGCTACATCGCATTGCAAAAATTTACATTTCGTTACGACAGTATGATGGATGTCGAGCATTAAGCGGGCTCCAGTGCAGCTGCAACAAGCATACAAAAAATGTAGCACAAAATGATCAAGGATTGATAACTCGATAACCCTCGGAGTAGGCTGCATGTCACTAAGGGGTTATTGGCTCATGGTTCGTTCATTAACTACGCAAATCAGAGCACTTCTTCGCCCAGCTATTCAAGAAATTCACCGCCATTTATGAAATCTGAATGTTTATTGCCGTGTTTACAACAGTCGACTACTGGTCTATATACAGCCGAATCCAGTCTACATAATCATATGTTGATACTTTAAGATTAATATCAATTATCTGCTTAGAGTGTATTGGCACAGAAGTATGATTCACATTCGAGGAATACCCAGTTCGAATGCCAGGATGAAATCGGCTTGCCTAAAGCTTGACGTAGTTTACCTCCTTACCACCTGGTAATTACTGTGATATTAACTTAACATGTTACATCTCCATTCGACATTTCTCCGGATTTATTTTTGAAAATAATCCTAATATAACGTCTTAAAGATAGTACCTAACCTCAGCAGTTAATACAGCAATATTAAACAACCGGACAGACAAGTTATCGTACAACTACTAACCAGAAATGTGTACATCTTGCTGTTCATTTTCACTCGTCCAAGCTGCTGTCTTAAATGTGTGAAAGCTAGAAACTGCTGCAGAATTTGAGATCTATATGTTATGTGCAATATATAACAAAGGTTTATATACTTATCCACCACTTGTGTAAAGAGTTTGATGTATTGTGAGGTAAATTCAAGGTGCCCTTTGGGTGAATACATCCAAAAATTTTATAAAAGAATTTAACTTTATTTCCTCGCTAAAACACATGTGGGTACATCTGTTAAAACGAATAATTTCTTAGAAATAATGACACCTCGTTTACGTAGGTGACTTCTTCTTTGCTGACGTGCTTGTTTGTCTCTTCAGGAGCCTTTCGTAATAACAAATTTCAAGTTCATCATTGAGGTTGCGAGTTTCTCAACTGAGGGACCTGTTCGTTGAAAACTTGAATTCAAACTTGTCTACGCAAAGTACGGTAATACAAGTGACATCACCTTTACCACAGTTTTGTTTATGCTCAACAGTTGCTGCGTTTGCATGTTTCTTGTTTGTTTATATTTATACATAATCGCTAAATAGATTCGCTTTTAGGATTTTAGATTATCACGGCGGTGAGACCGAAGCTGGAGGTCTCCTAGGCTGTAGAGCTGTTTATTCTGGTATAAATTTACCAGAGTTTGAGAGGTCCTCACAGCCTCCATCATCAGGACGATGCAACGTTTCAGAGGTTCTTGCTGCCTCCGTTGTCAGGGTGATGAGTGTCGATGGCTCATATCCCTGATGGTGGAGGCAGCAAGGATCTTTGAAACATTGGTAAATTTCTGGCAGACTACACGGTGCTATTACCGAGAAGACAGACATCTTCATCTCCCGATTTACTTTTGATATGCATTGAAGTTAAAACGGTGCAGGCGTATTGATAAGCGTATTAATAATATGTAGATAGCTATCCTCCGAAGTCTTTCGTCACGATTTTGAGATTCGAAACTGCCAGTTTGTCTTATGCAACATATCTCAACGATTGTTCCGTTTTAAAACTTGTTCTAAACGCAGCTTTATTAATAAAATCATAACTTTAATTTTGTGTTCAGATGAACGTCGGACGCATAGTGTGGTTTCTTGCTCCAGTACGTACCTGACAATGAATTGGAGATTCCTTAAAGGCACTAACAATACTTTGATGTTTACACTCACTAGTCCTTCAGACTCAAGGTAGATGGCAGGAGGCTGCAGAAATTCAAATATTAAGCTGCATAATTTGTACACTTCACTAGATTATTATTAGAATTATCAAATAAATGAGCATAGTATGGGCGGTAAATGTAGCATGTGTGGGTGAAATAATAAATGCATACAAAATCTTGGCAGGCAAGGGATCACTTAGAAGACCGGTGCATAGATAGGGAATAACATTGAAATGAATCTTAATGGAAACATGGCGGGAAGGTTTGATCCGGACTCATCTGGCTCGGGTGGATTCTTGTAAACAAAGTAGTGAACCATTTAGTTCATCAGGACTGATCATAGAGAGATTAGGTTCCTCTGAAACGTTGGCAAAATATTTACGGCACTACAACTCGGAAGACAGCCATCATAAGACAAGACGTGTTCGACCCCAGGCTTTCAAGCAGAATTTAAATTCCAAGAACAACAGGAAGAAAATTAATAAATATTTATGACGGTTTAATTATGGTAATGGGAAGATTGTACGATGTCTGTAAACCACAATAATAATGAAGGCCAACAAGTGATAAAGATTAAAGCACGCAATGTTCATGGTCGTTGATTGTCGTGTGTAAGCTGTGGTAACTTACCAACGGCAAATTACGTCTTCTGTTGGGTTCCCTAATACCACGGAAGGAGGAAAATGCAGGAACAGAAACTCGTAGTATTGGTTAACATTTCCTGGTATTTACCGAACCAGCATTAATACCTAGGAAAAGCCTCAATAAACCTGAAGAACGAATAAACTTGTTTCGTTAGTAGGGATCGTTGATGTAATGCTGGTGAACTTTACACAGATGGAGCGGTTTCAATGGCTGAACGTAATCTAGAAGTCTCGGTGTTACACCTCGATTAGTGCAATATGTATGTCAGTACATCCGACCGTCGACGTACTCAAAGCGCTGTATGTTGATTTACTTTTATTAAATGTTGAATTCAGATATTTGTAGGTATGTAACACGTATGTGAGAAATCGGAAATACATGAACATTAATGGTTTTGGCTACAGAACATCAAAGAAAGGAGCTACTTGGTAGGCGTATATAGGTCGATAATATTGAAATGTAACTTAGAGAAATAGGATGCAAACAGGAGGTGAACTGGATTTAGTTGGAGAATTATTGGTCCCAGTGGCGGGGTTATAAGTAATTACAGTGTTGTATCCAGATTTTTAACGTGAGATTTCACTGTAAAGGATGCGGAGTGTTGATTAAGAAAACTTCTTTGTTAAGAGATGAATAATATTCATTGTGGCCAACTCGCTTTTCAGTGTTGGAAAATTACGTGTTTTGGACTGTTATGTTCTGACATCAATGTATTTGTCTATAGCTTGTTCTGTGACGTCATTGTAACAGCGGGTGCCCACACTGTTCGATTGTTATATGAATATCGTGTAGTATTTAGTCGTCCCATTAGGCGTGAAAGTTATCGGTGCATACTCTGCTTATTATTGGTTCACATAAGGACAATGATTGTTAACCTATTTCTTTTTAGAAAGGAGGCCCATAACCAGGTGTGTTCTTGTCCCAATACGGTGACATACCCGTCTTATTAATTACTTTTAAAAGAAGGTAGAATCTGAGGTTTTCACGACAGTGTGATTAGAAGATGGTCTCAGGGCTGACATACATTCGTGGAATTCATTTTGGAGGCAATGAAAACTGAACACCGTAATATTGGAGATACTGATTGGTGGCTAATCAAGTGGAATCATATGAAGTCATTAGGTTTTCCGTTAATTATCATCTCGTAATTTACATATATTGTTCGCTCAGGACAGGGTCTGGTGGTGGGCTTTGGCTCATTCGGTGATGAACCTTCGGGTTCCGTAAGCTATCTAGTTGGTTGATTTATATATATTAATATATTGAACTATTTAAATATGTTAACTGTTAAATACGAATTAAGCTCCGGTAAGTACTTTGAATATAAAAATTAAGATTTGCATATCTCATTGCTGAATAACAGCTTTCTGGAATTATAAAATTAATTCACGGCGTAAAGGTAAATGTGTAGTATATGATTACCGGACAATGTTGAATTAGACTATAGAATTTGTGAATATTACTATAGGGATATTACAGTTCATTTGCTATTAGACAGAGTAAAGAACATAACTTTTTCATCAGGCTGTTACATATCCGAGGTAGCAACAATTTTTAACAGTTCTTGCTGCTTCCGTTGAATGTTTATATTTTACATTTGTTTTATTACTTATTTTATAACAAGAAATACATTTATTTAATAAATATTTTGAGAAATAGTTATAAATATTTAACTGATAGACAAAATAATGATTTGTATGCATTTGATCATGAAACTTTCACAAATGTGTTAAAGTTAGCACAAGCAGAAAATGAGCAACAGTCACTGTAAACCGTCGATGTTGATGACAAGATTAATTGCTGACAACTGTTTGCTTTGTCAGACTGCCAGAGACGTGTTATCTAGAAATAAATTTCGGGCCTGTTGAAATTATGTTTCATGTTCAAATATAGAGACCAAAATTATTTAAAAGACGTCGATCCATCAGTTTGTAATCCTATTCTTGTTAGTTGTTGCCAAGGGAAATATTACATTTTGTTCGTAACAGTAGTAGTATGTAAATATAATTGCCTGCAATATCCATACCGCCGTAAGTGTTTCGCACGTCATTCCTGGACAAATGGCGATGATGATATCTAAACTACATAAAGTAATGTTTCGAAAAGTAACCTGATGCTTGCTCAGGCGTTTGGTTTAAGTAGATATGTGAGCGACATATTTGATATCCCATAAAATCTAAGGTTTTGTTTCCTCCTCAAATGGCTCTTATCTGTAAAAAAAGATATGCCACAATCTGTCCTGTTTTCGTATAACGAAAGAAGCCAAGTATCTCTGTAAAGGTTTATGTAGTATTCACTTATATACCTTTGGTACTGATATATTTTGGACACTTCATTACCGAAGACACTCAGATGTATACAAATTCTGTCACTAGTACACTAGTATTACACTATCTTTTAATTGTCCTCTTCCATGAAGACTTAAAATTGAAAACGAACTCGGCTCTTTGTACACAGCACATCATGAGATGTAGCAAATTCGGTAGTAATATGAATATTGAGACGTATTATTTTTCCATAAGTTCTATCACTTACATCGACGAAAAGTCATGGTTCTTAAAGTCATTAGTATTTGTTTTGTTCATTGTATCTACAAGCCTGTGATGTTCGTCGGAAATTAATAGATTGGTATTGTTGCTCTGTTTCGATATTGCTAGTGTTACCACCTTGTAATTTTCCAGCTAGCTGGAAAGAATAAACGCGATGGTTGCATTCCTATATTTTATAATCGTTAGTCGGATGAGACAGTTCCTTAATGATCCAGCTGTCGCTGACCATTCCTAGCAGAATCATGGACTCGTGTTCCGGTGGATATGCCGGGTCTCCTGTCTCCTTCGGGTACATCAGCAGTCCCTTTTTCTGAGTCAGGGACGTGGGCACCGCGAGATGCCAGTGCTCCTACGGCCCCTATACCCTGACCAGGTTTAATCCTGCCGTACCCAGCAGACTCAATCACGTGGAGTGCAGCCACTAGCACCGCGAGGAGCAACTGAAAAGGAGAAGGCTATTCAGTTCACGTTTAACTTACTTTTTGTCTAACTGCCTTTTGCTTAATGTCGTTTAAATGCAGGTTATATTCACAGCAAAGGCGAAGCATTTGGGTTTGCAGTAAGCAAAATGCTGCTAATATGAAGGTAATATCTATTAAGTATGCGCTATCAAAACCTTCGTCCAACTTATTGATACCTGTGGGATTCGAGGTTTTCACGGCGGTGAGTCTGATGATGGCTCTCTTCTGGGTTGTTGCACCATGTAGTCTGTTAGAAGTTTGTCGACGTTTCAGAAGTCTTTTCTGCCTCTATCATCAGGGCAGTGAGTCATTGACCTGATAGTGGAGGCAGCAAGGACCTCTGGAACGTCGGTAAACTTCTACCAGACTACACGGCGCAACAACCCAGAAGACAGCCATCTTCAGCCTTGTTGATACCTGCTCTGGCTTGTAACTTAACTTAGGTCTGCTCAGATTAACACTTACTTAGTGTGCATCGACAGAACACTAATGCCATGCGCAATTGAACACATACGTTTTATTGCCGCGAAGAAGATGCATTTGTCATTTATTCTTGTTCTGTTTTAAATTTACGTAACTCAGAAAAATTAAAAATTCGCGTCGAAACTTGAAAGAAATATAACATTCTGTCCATAAAAACTTAATTTTTAAATACCTGCTCTGATCGGTCAAGGATCTTTGGCAATATTAAAGGTATACAAAAGCAAATTCAAGCTGAAACCACTAAAACAAAAACCGAAGGCATGAAACGATCTACAGTGTAATTGCGCCTTCTTTGTATGCAATTGTAAGGAAACCAGAATTAGAACAAAACTGGAAGACGTTACAGTGTTAATGTATCGCTCAAAGGACCGTACACATAGAAAGGACCAGCGCTCCAAATGATAATTTACTGACCTGTGCAGCAGAAGTGGTGTGGTGGAATGCCATTGTAGTCCAAAGAGTATACCTTTCTACTATTATATTTTTAAGACTACGTCTCTGGTTTAAAGAAGTCGCTACATTGTGCGATAATTGGATAAGAGAAGGGATGCCTATTTAGGAGTTATTCATTCAGAACACAAATGGTTTATATTAAATCTACGAGCGAATCCGCATACCACCGATGTTGTAAGTTCAACTAAAAAGGGATGCTGTCTGCAATAATGAAATTCCAACACTTACCAAGGCCCTTGTCATGGTGTTCTCTGTAGATCTTTCCAACAATGCTGAGCTCCCACTGCAGTGCAAGCATCCAGGTCACGCTTCTTTTTATAAGACTCAGTCGCATTGCTAAGAAAATAAAAAGTCCCTCTTGTGGCAATACCCTTTGATCGCTTATTTCTTGGAAAATAACTGCAGCGTCAGCATAGGGAAAGGGAAAAGCCGTTCTTGTTTCCAGGACAGAGTCTTAATTAACTAATTTTCGGTGTTGTAAACCTCACACGATCCTATAATTTCCTGTTGTTTTGTTATTCCCCGCTGGATGAAAACATATAAATACATGTGTTTGAAGAACTGTTGACTCATGTATATCGTCATAGAGCGATGTTTACTTGATTTCCTCTCATCGTAGTTAAACTATTTCAGGGGTGTCCCGATAAGTTTAATTATAGTTAGAAGGAGGCAATATCTTATGTTTCCTCATTAGAATTCGTAATACGCACACTCAGACACACTAGTTCATTATTTATAGTGCTATTCAACATGTGTTATGTCCTGTGTTCTTCTGCCTGCATTCTAATAGGGCAAGAATTTATATGTGTTTCTACATGCTTATGGTCATGTGTAGTTTTGTATCCCCTTTTTGTGAAGCGAAAGTTTGTGGTGTGCCGTCATGTGCCTTAGGCAAATTAGGGTGTGCCGCGAGGTAAAAGACGTTCTTGAAACGCTGAAATAGAGAGGTTTAGTGGTTTTAGAAACGGCCGTGTTTGTTCTTTGTTCACTTAACGATATTATATGCTTAATTCTTCAGGTTAGTTCATACAGTTTATTTTTCCTATTCATAATTGCATCTAGCATAATTCATTCTTAAGATATTCGGTAGAACACCTTGGATGGCATATCGACCAATCGTCGAGACCATGCCTACTCATAGCAGTATTAAGAAACGAGAATAAATTCATACCCAGGCTGGATTAGCAACCATGAGCCCAAAACTTGACCTGTCCAAAATCATAAGCACATATTCTACAGAAAATATCATTTTTGTCGTTTCCTACTACAAAAATAGAATAACTTAAAAATGAAAATTCAAAATGATTTCTACGACGTAAAAGAAAGTTATATAAATTATTGAAATAAATATTTTGTGCAATTGAATTTTTATGAGACGAGAAGGATTTGTGTTATATGAAGAACATCTTCGTGAATGTCACCTGGTAGCAACGTATTCCATGTCATTGTATTTGAATATTTATTTCTGCACAAAAATTTTGTTTTCCATTAAGCAATTAGTAAAATTTAATTCTGAAACTGTTCAGACCAAAGTGCTTATTCCAACAAAATGAACAAGAATACGCAGAAAGAAATAAATGCAAACACTGCACATGTTTTATTACCTTCTACTTTCTAATGGAAACACAAATATTCAAAACACTTAAAACACGAAAGGCCTGTGCTATGAAGAATGCCGACAGAACGATTGTCCACTCATTTAGAATCCGTATTCCATTAAGACCCAGTTGTAATTGTGTGTCTCACCTGCTTCAACGACCTTCCTCATATTGTATAAATGGATTTCGTATGATACTCAGCGTTAACCAGTTAATCTTTGTAATGGAGACTCGTCGTGTTTTATTTGATTCTTAGATGTTATTAAGACGAGCTTCGGCTCCAAAGTGCTAATGTCTGTTTAATTATTCTTATATAATGATGGTTCCTTTGGGTTTTCTGTAATTGACCTTGCTCGCGTCAAGGTTGTCAGGTTGCTCCCCCCACCCGCATTCATTTTTCTGATTCAGTCCGGTTTGATCACGTTGTTTGGAGTAGGCCTATAGTTCTAGCAGAAATAATGACTGCACGATCTGCGAGGTAGGTGGTCTGCTTTGCTTTTGTTCTCCATAAAGTGGTCTACCAATAAAAGGTAAAAATAAATGCTTTAGTCCATTCTCCTACAACCTTCCTCTAACCGGTAGCTGTTATAAAAAGTTATTTCGATTTCAGAGTATTTTATCTGTCACAACGAGAAAAAATGCAAAGGAGGGTAGATGGGGAAGAAACACGAAATGGAGCGGTTTCGTTTAGAATCGGCATGTGGTTTAACAAACCAGGACGGTGCATCACCTTACAGTAACTGCAAGTGGCGGTTGGCATGTTATACCATAAATGTACAGTATGTCCTAAGGGATGCTTGAATTCTGCTAGTATGTTATTTGTCAGCATGTAATTGCTGATCTCAGGGTTTCGGATCGAGAAGATATCCTCCAGATATAGATGTAGCTGACAGTATAGTCTATGAAACAATACAGTTCCCATATATTTGGACGGAGGTTCTGCGTTGAAAACCCACCGTCCTTATCATTATTAAATGAACAATACACATTATCATACTCGTTATTTTTACAATCCTTTGTTACTTGCACATCTGTTAGGTGGCAATGTCTTCTTCAGCACCTTGATTTCAAGGAGATCAATTTACAAATTGTATTGACACATTTTATTTCAGTACAAGGAGGATAATTACAAAGAAACATATTATATGCTGTACTTCATTCAATACGGTAAGCGGGACATAGTGGAGGAAAGAAAATTATGCCACAAATACCAATCAACAGAATTTCAGATATTCAGACCTATAAGCAGGTGAAATTTGAAAGCAGCTTAGTGAACGGTATTAAATAATCTGTGTTCAGGGTATCATTTTAACTGTCCATTCACTCAGTGCATTCATTTTCCGTAACCGCCATGGACAGGTTTCTCACCACCTACTCCTGCACCATGTCCTCCGACTGTTCCGCCTCCAAGGCCTCCTGATCCATGTCCTCCTCCTACTCCGCCTCCAAGGCCTCCTGATCCACGTCCTCCACCTACTTCGCCTCCGAGCCCTTTTGATCCATGTCCTCCGCCTGCTCCGCCTCCAAGGCCTTCTGATCCATGTCCTCCACCTACTCCGCCTCCAAGTCCTCCTGATCCATGTCCTCCACCTACTCCTCCTCCAAGACCTTCTGCTCCACCACCATGATTTCCTCTACTTCCACCGCCATAACCGCCATCGGCGAGGACAAAGCACACTGTTGCCAGCAGCAAAACGAAACTGATCTGTAAGAAGAAAACATTCTGTTGCACAATTCACTCTGTGTTTCAGCAAAAGTCGATTACATATAGGATTTGAGATTCTCACTGCTGTGCCTACGAAGATGACTGTCATCGCCCTGATGATTGAGGCAACAAAGACCTTTGAATCGATGACAATCTTCTACCAGACTTCATGGCGCTACAACCCAGAAGATATCCAACTTCGTTAGATATATCAGTAGCATTCAATGTCTTTTCAGACAAACCCAGTGACACAAAATAATATTTATATTATATTACAGACAATTTTCGTGTTGGGGGCAAACATCCCATTCATTTGCCCCAGCTGAAAGATGTATTGAAAAGCTTTTATTTAGTTTAAAGTGATTCGGACCTTCATAACAATATAACGATCATGGTGTGTATTCTGAGGGAACCTATTCGATCTTCGGCCGAGATATCGACCATTCTAACAGATTTTTTGTGATTTTCCTCACTTCCCGCAGTCTGTTTACATAGACCATGGTTATTTTCTCCCTCATTGAGGTTTGCCGAATGTGATTATTTCCTCATAGCGCTAAATAGCCTTTGCAATTAATGGAGCATTGGTAAATAAAATACAATTCTCATATATTTTACAGTAATAAATGCCTATATGTATATGTTTACTGTTAGTTTTTCTGTTTCCATATTTAATATAAATAAATCCCATTACAGAAATCTGTTCTGTAGGTACGAATTAATATAGAAGTTTAATTGGTCTAAATCAGTATTAACAACAGATTCAAATAAATCCGGAACTCCGGAATGTGTGATTTGGCTTTTATTTTATGTAGTATACTCACCAGGAACTTGGCCATGGTGCCGCAGCAGAGTCCTTTCTGACGCTGACAGTGAACTGTTAGTGTTAATGGAATCCAATTTGAGCTTTCTTTTATATGAAATTAATAAAATATAAATAATAAAAGTCGATGAATTGCGTAATGAATTTTCTCGGTATTCCTCTTATTGACATCCATAACAGAGAGCATTAGTAGGTAGCGTGGTTTTCTTGAAAGTAAAGAGACATGTAGCATCGTGTTCCACAGACTCCGGCGTTCTTTGAATTGCTTCTGTTGTTGTCAGTGTGTGTATCATAAATTAGTCTTCAAATCAAGCATCACTGCACATATGCGCACAAAAGGTAAAGATTCTCTGAAATTATTTTATACTTATTTGTAATGTAATTCCTAGATTTTAAATCCGGTTTTACCTTCATGAAGAACAAACCTTGACCTTGTAAACACAAGTATGTGACGTCTGTTTAGTAAACTACTGAACACGAGCAGATGTAGTGAACTCCACTAACATGGTGTTTCATTTGTCCGTAATAATACCTCGTACTGCGTAAGTCTTTTGCTTATGAAAATAGAGAAATCTGTGGCTGAAATAAACTGTAATGTCATAGCATTGTTTGGAAATCACTTAATCTTATGGTAATATTAAATTTCAGTTAATCGTAACAGGAAAATAATATTTTAACAGATTTGTGACATGTTATGGAAGGACTAGGAAATGCCTGTATCTCAACTTCGTAAGAAATTTTTTTCTGGCAGTTGACGGCTGTGAAAGAAAATTTTAAGGAAATAAATCACGTTCTAATATATTCCGTTTATTTGTGTTATAACATGCATTATCGATTCTGTTTAAAAAGTTTCAGTGTTACAATAACCAACTATATATAAAATTATCGTCTTAAATAAAATATTCTTGCGATTTAAAAAGGTTGATTTTCATGGATAACATTTGCTTTGTGTTGCAACAAGGTACTTTGTTTTGCGTACCTCTCATGTGAATGATAAAGTTCATTAATAATCATAGTAATCATCTGTGTAACTTGGCCATGTAAAGATCCCAGTAGCACCTCCATATCCAACTCCCGGCCACAAATACATGCTGCGTCCGACACCACCGTATCTTCCTCGACCGCCGGATTCACCGATTCCTCCTCGAAGTCCACCAGGGCTTCCTCTTCCACCACCAGGGCCTCCTCTGCCACCTCCAGGGCTTCCTCCAAATCCACCGAAGCCTCCTCTGCCACCACCAGGGCTTCCTCCAAATCCACCGAAGCCTCCTCTGCCACCACCAGGGCTTCCTCCAAATCCACCGAAGCCTCCTCTGCCACCACCAGGGCTTCCTCCAAATCCTCCTCTGCCACCACCAGCTCTGCCACCACCAGGGCTTCCTCCAAATCCACCGAAGCCTCCTCTGCCACCACCAGGGCTTCCTCCAAATCCACCGAAGCCTCCTCTGCCACCACCAGCGCCTCCGCCACTACCTATCCCAAAACCTCCTCCGCGTTGTGGGTCCGCATTCACAAGGTAGAGAGCAATTGCAATGAGAACCAAGTATATCTGTGAACACGTGCTTTGCTCATTCCAGTTGCAAGATATTGAATTCCTTCCTTAAGTAATGTGTCGTGTCTATGAGTGTACGTGTGTGCCCTTGCCTACCTTCTGAATCAGTCATCTAATATTAATTAAAATCGACATGAATACCATGGTTGAAGACATTGGTGTAGAAGGGATGTAAGTGGTGGTTTTCTTTATCTCCGAAGAGACAAAAGTATTTTAAGCATTCAGTCTTCCATGTAGGTCTACTATTAATCTATTTATTTTGTCACTCTAATAAGCATTCGGATTTATCCTTTTCTTACATTGTAACATTGGATTACCCATTTTTATTTCATTTGTTTTATTAACAACATTATTGGGACATTCCACATGCGCAATTTGTGTTTTACCGAAAACAAATTCATCAGAACAAACAAGATTATAATGTCTCTACAATCAATTAATACAAATATAAACCTCATAACCTACGTCTAAACAGAACCGCTACCTAGTTCAAATATGTTACAATTATTCTGAAATTACTCAATTACTTCGTTACTTAGTGAATCAGTGACAGTAAAACAGACAATACTCATAAACGCCGACTATGACGTACAGCATGCTTGGTTAGTGAAGGCTTCCCAGCTGTTCGTCTCGACGACCACTGCCTAATTTCTGCCTCTTTTGACACTAATTCAAAGCAGTTAAAATGTCTGGGGACGGGAGAGTAAAATCTAGAACCTTGGTCTCCGATTAGCGAAACGATTGGGTGACTTATCCTTTCACCGGAGGTTACATCAGTAATCATCGTGCTTCGATTACGCATAATGTGTAACAATGCGTAGTTTACGCTTGCGAACTTTGAATCATCGCTAGCGGCGAGGGAACAAGACCACAGCGTCCTTCCCGTGTGTCATATCAGTATCACTTATTACGTAAATCTTCTCGTATTGCGAAAGTTACTCTACTCTCGTAATTTAGGGAATGAGATGGTTGTCCGTTAGTGCGTTCGTGTGTTCATTCGGCTTCAAACTTAGCATGTGTTCCTATCAAACAGTGTGATTTGGTGGTTGGAATCCATAGCAACCAGTACATGGGTCGCACTATAAATTTACCACGGTTCAAAAGTTAATTTGAAGTGTGAAGTACCATTGTATATATTTGCAGTACCTGTATCTTTCCAATTTGTAAACACGGATACGTCCTTAACGTACTCTTGTGTACTTACTTGGACGTGAATTATTTAAACACTTGTTACTACCCCCATATATTCATACACGAATAAAGTAACCGAATCTGTGCGCTGTGAACCAACATTTGTTGCTAGCGCTAATATAATTGAATATAGAGTAACAAAATGTTCATTTGCAGTATACAAAATAAGCGTTTATAAGTTATACGCCAGTTACAGAATTGCAAAGTTTGACTTCTATCGACATTCTAAAACCCAGCGTTCGGAGATAGTAAACCAGGCCAGATTTTGTTTTGAAATCATTTTATAATATTTTATCTTCAATGCATATTTGAAGTCACTGCCTACGTCGTGCCGGGGTCACAGATAAACATACTATACGTCCTGGATAATTTCTGTGCACTGTATAGTATTTGAGACGTTGCTGTTCCGAAAGAAGTTGTAGTTTTTAAATTCTTCACTTTTTTTAAATTGGCATTTTATTTGATTCATAGAGTTCGAAGAATTTTAAGTATCTAAGATATTAGGTTCGTATTCGCAAAGAACGTATGCTGAACATAAACGTACACTTTGAAGAAAGTGTACTGAAACTAATTGAGTTTACAAGGCAGAGATAGACTGAATAACGTTTCTCGTACTGCGGACAACACAAACTGTTTCCCCATCATTTTATCCAAGGGAAGGGCGCTATTTATTTCTCATGATATGATAACACACAAGAATTTGAATCCCGTTTCTGCATAAACGTGCAAGTTTCTTCTAGGTTAGCAGTGTTTTAGCTATGTGATTCTGCCATAAGCAGGAGATGAATAAAAGGATAAAAATGAATATTTTGTTATGAGACCTAGATGTTTTGTTCATCAAACTATCAATCAAATTTACATATTCATGATTTCGTGGCTCTGACCAAGCCTGAGATGTTCTTGTTAACAATGTTCTTCTGCACAGTGTGATTGTGTGTGGCAGTGACATTGGTAGATTTTAAGATTCATAGAAATATTGCAATTTATCTAGAGTGTTAAGGCCATTTATGTTACTTTATTATTATTATTTAGTGTTCTGTCTGACGACAGGTTCACTGTTCTGCCCAAAAAGAGTTCCCCAGTTTTTCCTATTCTCAGCTTCTCGTATTAACTCCTGAAACTTCGTCTTCTTTCCTTGTTTAAGATCGTCAGTTAGCTCTCGAGACAACAGTGTTTTTTTTAAAAAAAATTTAGCTTACATTTATACCTATGTTAATATAAAGAGTATTATTTTTATGTACTGTTATATGGACGTAGGGCTAGTTTACTTTATACTTGAAATACGTTAACGTGATTTCTGTGTGTCGACTGTGGTCTTCTGGGTTGTGACGCCATGTAATCTAGTAGGTGGTTACCAAAGTCACTTACATTTATGTTGAAGGTGAAGATAATACGTTCCTCTAAAACCTTGCTTAATATCTACACTACTATATGGGGCCATAATCCAGAAGACCGCAATCGACAGCTTTCTACGGTACATCAGACCCAGATAATTTCAGCAATAATTTTTTTAGAGAGTTTGAAGTTAAGACAACTATCTGAAAGAAGTTCTGTTGAGAAGAGTTTTTATTCTGTACGTTATTTCTGATATTACATGTAACAGCAGGACTAGCTAATGTTTAAATATAAGTTTTCAGATTGATCTCTTAATTAATGTTAAGGACTTGACGTACCAAGTATTTGCCCATGGCCGTTTGTCTTCACTCCTGCTACCGACAGATGACTTGACACAGACTGATGCGGCCTGCCAGTTTAAATCCAGAGCAGTGTTTGCTGCATCGAAGAAACATAGTCCATACCAGAGACACAGTAACATTTCAAGGTAGCCATCCCTTTTGTTTAACATATCAATTTGTTCCAATTCACAAGTTCCTAGGCATGCCACTTATATTCAAAGTTCTTGTAAGGAGATCTATCATATAAAACTGCTTGTGGATTCAGTAATTTTACTATGTGGCTTGTACACGGGAACTACTATTTTGAGTATTGTCAGTTGTAGGGGGCTAAGATGGGATGGCCATGTAGCAAAAAGGAAGGAAACAGGATATGCATTCAGAATTATGGCTGCCACTTGAAGGCCGAAGAGGTGGGAGGATTACATTAAAATCAGTTCGATGGATGAAAGGTGTGGTGTTGGAGATGCTCGAAGCTTCTTCAGGCTCGTACGTGCTCAGGGGCAGGATATCAGCGATATTTAACCTTCGAATTTGCTACAGTGAAGTTATTTAGACATGTAGTCAGTCAATTTTGTTGTTTTTTATGCTTGTGGCAAAGTCTCCTTTTCTTGAGGGAACGACATAAATGAATTGTAAATAGAACGACTTATAAATATTGTCCACAGATGTATATTTACATTCATGAGGCAACTTGATTAATACAGTTGACAGTTACGCATACGATCAAAACTTTATAGTCTTAAGACTTTGCATACCGTGTAGTGTTAAATACCCTATTCATTATTTATTTTCTAAATCCAGTTTAAACCAGTTGATTAAATGAATTAGTTTCCCTGATGCCACTGATGATGGCCTCTTGAGGTTGAAACGCGTATGGCAATAGTGTCCTTTTTATAGTGTTAATAGTTGTTAGTTGCTTATTTTAAAAACTTTATAAGATTAGAAGCTTTCATGGCTACTAAATATTATGACGTCTTCTCGGGCTATCGGCCACGTCAAAATGAGTTAATATACAACATATCGGAGACTGTATTTGTCTGCATAATTGACTGTGTTGAGCGTCGGGTTGCTTTTGAACACGAAATTGTAAAACCGAAGCCTAGATTTACGACGCCGTTTGTCGCGACTCTTTAACGGGTTAATGTTCGAAACTAGTACCTGTAATTAATTCATCGTAATTATAAATGTATACGGTTATCATGTGTGAAATGTGTATTTAGTGACGAATTTCTTTACAAGTATTTATGCCCTCTTAATCTCTTACGGTACGGAGAAGAACCAGTTACGAGCACAAAGGCCTAACCTAGTGCGTAATGAAAATGACTACTTTATCTTTACCGGCTGGAAAATGGTATTTGAGGTATAAATGTTCTAGTAACGAGGGGAAATTACTGGGGTTAAAACGGTACAAACAGAATTAATAATTTTAAAATGTTCTTTATTTGTGAAATAATAACATATTTATGTTTAAATGCACATAGTTACTAATATAAGAAAAGTGTCGTCATGTATTTATAACTCATGTGAGGTATGATTTCCGATTAAAAATATTAACCGTACTTGAACCGACGTTAATAGTAACGTACAACACCAGAAGTTGTGTGGTGATATCAGAAGGTGGCGTTGTGAATTGTTTCATAATCAAAATTATCACAAAATTAAACAAAAATATGAACATTAATATATTTAGAATAGTATCCAAATGTGAATGTTGAAGCTGTCATTGAAGATGTCATTTTCTCGAAAACAGACACGTTAAATTGTCTAGTTTTCTTTTACTGTAGTCGAATTAACAAGATCGCTGCCAGAAATTCCAAAATTTACATTGCTGTGTCTGAACTGAATTTCCATAGGTACGAAGAACTTGTAGTAATTTCACTTCTTGATCACGAAAGTCGTTACACAACAGTAGTCTGAGTGCAAATTGTTTTTACAAATATTTATAATCACCCGTGTTTACCATATCCTCCTTGACCACCGTAACCTCCTCCAAATCCACCACCACCTCCATATCCACCGCCTCCTCCAAATCCACCGCCACCTCCAAATCCACCACCTCCGTATCCGCCTTTGCCCCCGTATCCACCAAGACCACCTCCGTGGCCACCGCCTCCTTGGCCACCGCCTCCGAAACCACCAAGACCACCCCCGTGGCCACCTCCTCCG